TCTCTTTATTAATGTGACAAAACATTATCATAATTATTTACAGATGAATGACACAGAAAACAACAAACATGGAACAGCCATTTCATCACTCCTTTAGAATGACAATCGATGGTCTAACACATTAGTCCGCATATTTTTCTAGAAAATCTGCATCCTGGAACAGCAAAAAATCCTTTTCCACATCACTTTAGTGCCTCCATATTCTGGTAGTAGAACTTTTTCACCAATTTCAATACTGACAGGCGTTACATCTCTACTCTTGATAACGGCTCCTGGTCCTACAGCCACCACTGTGGCCTGCAGCACTTGAACTTGTGACTTTTCTGGAAGCATCATACCTCCTTTAGGCCCGATTCACATATACTGCGTCTTTGTGGCGTGAGCGATGCGGAAAGTCTTGCTTTTCTTTTCGGTGCCCATGTTAACTGGTCAGCGCTTTCACACAGGCTGCGCATGCGAAGGAGCAGAGCGTCCCAGACGCCGCTCTGAAGCAGCGCGGTATTTAGAGAATAAACTTGGCGGCTGTGTTTTTCCATGCGCTGCACACATCACGCAGTAAAATAGACTAAAATAAGACATGAGAATCAGTGAAAATTAAACTGAACACTGTATACAAACTTCAAAACTTCATTTTTTTAAATTTTATTTAATTCATGATGAAATACTAGTTAAACATTCTGTACCGCAGACAGGTTTCCCGGTTGGTCTACCAACTTTTGTCAGAATGCTGTCAAGGACAAACAAATATACCGTGTACTTTCATAAATGGTATTTTTATTGATCAGAGTGACTGATGTGACTATTTATCCGTCTAGAAAAAGGAGTGTCTGTATTACCTTCTGCGCCGCAACACAAACACTGTATGTATAAAAGGCCAGCACGTCATGCTGCCGCTTCGCTCACGCCACGCAGTAGCAGAATGTGTGAACTAAGCCTTAGTCAGTCTCTGCTGCTAACCACTCCACCAACACACGGCTGGGAGAAATTTCCCGAAAGCCTTAGTCATGACTGTAGTTTAGGCGCTGCAGCGGTGGAGTAGAGCGAACGAGCCACACTGAGCACCCGTTGTGAATATGTGACTGTATAATGCAAATTAGAAACTGCTACTGTTGCGCTTGTGCGGTACAGGCGGTGTGTTAAGACAGACATGAGAGAATATCTTATCAAAGCTGTTCTTATGAAGTTTGGAGCAACACAGAAAAAAAGATGTCAATTTAATTACTTTTGCTTTATTTAAGGTTTTCTGGTATCCATGTCCACAGTTCACAGGTCGCTTTATGTGAGTAGAGTCGAATCTTCAATATTCGGGATTAAGCCTTGTAGAAATGTAGATGTACAGCGTTTTGCTCCCAGTAGAAAGAGAACAAGCTTAGCATGACTAATTGAGTGGAATGATTCTTACATGCGTCGTCCAGCAGCTCAGTCTGTTACATCAAGATGTCACGCGTCACATTGACATTTGATACAGATGCTGATGAGCTTTTCCTTGTTGGTGGAAGATACATGTGCATAATGTTAGAGGATTCTCAAAGATAGACGACAGGTGAACAATATACAGTCAAACCTGTGGTCTGTACGCAGAAGCACCCAGCAGCTTCTCTCGCTCCAAAATGGTGCTGAATGTGTGGAGTTTAGTAAATATCACTTGCTTTTTCCAGCTTTGTTGAAACGAAGGGCCGCGACACCCTGCTGCTGAGTAATACAGCTGACCAACGGAGGTGGCGCACAGGTAGGGCGAGTGCACACAATAGCCCGGCTACCAGGCTGCTATGCTAAATGTTAAAGGCTATCATTACTCATCACTCCAAGAGTCCAGCGGTTTCTTCTGCCCCCTTAAATAACAACCTGCACTACATTAACTCAGACTGTAAGTGACTACACAGCAGCAGATGAGTGATTGGCTGAATCTGGCTTCTTTCAGTATTCAGGGCTCCTGTTAGCGTATTTTTCCGGTAAAATACTGACGTTACAGATTTTGCCATGAGCATTTTGACTGCTGCTTGTCGTTCGACACTGCTGGAGTGTAGTTAAGTTTTGTCCACTGACGCACCTGCACTTGTCAGAAATTGCTTAGGTTTTAGGTGTTGGTATCTCCATCGCCAGTAACGATACTGTGCCAGTAAGTGCCAGTATTGACTCCGATACGGTATCCATATCAGTGCAACACTAGAAATTCATCTGGAGCTGTGATTGGACAGGATTCTCACAGCTTTGTTATTGGGGGCTTGTTTACATACACACATTTCTATGGAAGAAACTTGGACGACTCAAGGTTGCGGCCCAAAGGCGACGAGAAGAAGCGCTGCCTCTCCATCGCTAACAGCTAAAAACACAGCCATCTGCTCTGCTCCGGAAAACCCACCACTCCACCCATATTCATGCTCTTCAACATAAAAGTCCCTGTACGAATGAACGTAAAATAGCCCAAAATATGTCTTCTCTTTAAAAAAAAACAAAACAAACTACTTATAATGCAGCGAGGCAATACATTGTCAGCACATTTATCCCACTCACAGCAGTGAATGTCATGCTAATGCAGTGCTAAACAGCAAGTATTCCCTGAATGGCTGCAAACAGTGCCCTGCCATACTATTTCTGATTTGTAAATAAGTTGAAATGGACAAAAGGCCAAGCAGTAGTTCCATATTTAAAAACTAGGCATGAACTGAACTTTGGTAAACCCAAAATTCGATTTTGGTCTGAAAGAGAATAAAAAGATTTTGTCCATTGCCAAAAAAACCCCAGAGGAGTTAAATAGGGCTACAGCTAAATGTCAAAATATAAGACTACAAATAGTTTTATTGGTAATGAAAATAACCAGTAGTGATTGCTTCCTTCGCTCTCCCGTGCTGGAGGTGCACTTGGTGCCTCCTGGTAGACCAGCTCTGGGCTATTAACCCCTAGTCAAGAGATTCAGATTTTACAACGGACATCTGTGGCTCTGTGAATGTGCTTTCAGCTGGGTGTCAGATGTGGATTTTCTCAGCAAATTTCTCAGCATACACAGCACCCCGCCACCCCCGACCTTGGCAGGGCAAGGATTCAAATATTTGCTATCGATTAGTGCCGAAGCTTTTTAAAGCCCAAAAAACGGTATTCGGGACAGCCCTAATGGCTAGACACACGAGGGAAGGTAAACGAAGGCAGACACGGACAGAAACGGAGCATGGATGCTACGATACACAGGTTGTTGTTGTTGTTTACAGTCTGTCTTCTTGACATGACATGAAGTTGTTCAGTATATGAAGCCTATGATATTTAATTAATCTCATTTGTAATAATGTATAGGTTCCTGAAACAAAAATCAGCATTTGCGCAGCGTGCAGCAGATGCAGTTGGTGATTTATCTATAATAAATATGCTATAGCTAAGATTCTCCCCCAGTTATCAGTATGCTGTCAGCGCACTCAGCCAGGCTAATCATTCAGCTAACTAAAACGGTCCTGGTGTAACATCTCTCTATTAATTATCATCATCTGTTGCCCGTGATGGAGCTCTCTATTTAACGGCCAGCGGATGGCTGTCCAGCGCTGAGGCCCGCTAACACACACACGCTGCAGATGGCGTCTGATCCGCGCTCCGATTTGCACGCTGGTGGTGATGCGGGCGCTGTGCCGAGCCTGTTAGCTCCCATCTGTGGCTCTGGGTGCCATTGTGTGTCAGAGAGGAAGAGACACAAAAGGGGGAGAGAGGGAGAGAGAGAAGTGGGGGGGGAGTGTTTTCAGTGGAACTGAACAGGGGTCTGGACCTCTATGGGCAGACTGGTCACTTCATCAGTGTGGCAAGAAGAATTTATTTTGAAATTATTTTGAAATGATTTCGGTAAGCAGTTATGATATTGGAACGTATTTCACACTTTACACATTTTTTATTTATTATTTATTTATTTAGCTTATTATTTTAAAGCTCTTTCCTCTTTCAGACAGTTGTTGTTGTTTCATTGTGTTTACATTAGCAATTATGTTATATGACAATAACAATCATGTTTTTCTAATCAAAATGAATGAAAAGTATTCTTTCATCTTTTTTTGCATTTAAAATAATCTGTTTGGGTACAGGGGCACAATTAAAACATCACTTAAGGCGAAATAGCCCCGATTCCACTACTACTACTGCTGCTAATAGTAATCATAAAACAATGAATAACAATAATAACAATCATTATAATACTTTATATTTGTATATTCTATATTTTTGTGGGGCCCAGTGTGACCTGTGGTCCCTAACTTACTGCTTATGCCACTTATATATTTAATTCAGTTGTAGTCAAGCTTACTTCTGAACACTTTGCTAGTGTTAATTCTGAATTTTTGTGATTAGTAGTACTAATAAGCAGTAATAGCAGCAGTAGTAGTATGATGTTGTTGTATTATAAATTGTTTTATATTTATTTTAGACTAGTTGTAGCTTGGCTCATTTTTTTAATTAATGTTAGTGCTGATTCATTCAGTAGTAGTAGTAGTGGTAGTTGTTGTTGTTGTTATTGTATTAATTTATTAATCATATTTATTTTTATGTTAGTTGTTGGTGGTAGTGTGTTATAGATTTCCATATTTGTTTTTATACTAGTAGTATCTTAGTTTCTTATGGTTCATATTCTTATTATAATTGTAGTTTATAATATTTTTCTGTCACATACAGATTTCTTTCACTTTTACTGACACAGAGCACGTTAATAACATAAAAGAACCTTGTTAGTGGTTGGACAGCAGCTTGTAGTGACCGTGCTGTGATTGGTTGTGAATGAAGCCTATAATTTTCACCTTCCGTCTGATAGGACAAGCCCAGAGAGCCGGTCAGGCTGAAGGAGGAGGACTCGACCACAAAGAACAGAGATGGAGAAAGCTGCGGGTTCCGCTTCAAAACTGAGAGAAAAGCTACCGCTACTGTAGTACGCTTGTCAAGTGCAGCTGGCAGAAAGAGGGCTTTAACTGAGACGCTGGGTAACACTACTTTCTGTTAACTACCGCTGCACTGCAAGCAGCGTTGGTGCTGTACACAGTACTTTTAACCGTGGCAACACCAGAGAAAGAAAAATAAATAAATAAAAAATGACTAGGGCTAAATTGACATTTCAGTTTAAGTTACAAATGTAATTTCCCTTTTGTCAGAAGTCATGACCTTCTGTGACAGCTTATTTCTATGGCAGGGAAAGCGCTCCATGGCTGCTGATTGGAGATGTCACCTGAAAGCATTCTGTTACGCCTGATGGTGAAATTAATACTGACACCTAGTGTGAAGGAGAATAATTGCTGATTCACAGCCTATTGAGAGAGAGAGAGAGTGGGTGCTTGAAATGAATAATTTGATACTGTATGTTGGTTGATATGTATATCAACTTACACAAGCATCGTTTTCAGGCTGTAAGCACATAACGTGTACATTTTGAAGCTGAAATGTAACTTAATGTAGGAGGTATAAGGAAAGGCAGACATACGCCTCTTTTTTTATGGCTACGCTTTGTGTGCTGTTCATCAACGTTAGGCTTTAGTCACTGTGCCACCTGCCTGCCTGTGATTATTTGGGATTTAAATGCCCAGAGCAAAACGCACAGAGCAGCTACTCAGGATAAGATGAAATATTCATGGGTGCAAAGCAGATGTTAGCCTGACCCACAATACACTGACAGTGCTTAGCTTTTTAGCCTGTGAGCGTGTGGGTGTTTTGTCGTGGAGGCAGGGGTGTATGATGGTTTCCACATGTGTTGTTTGATTGACAGAGCTTTGTGAAGAAGCCAGACCAGCAGTATGGAGCCATGTGAATAAACTCAGGCGTCCTGGAAGAGGGCGAGGTGGAACACAAGTGGACACGCAGGTAAAAAAACAAAAAAAAGAAAAAAGTGGACTAAAATTAAGCAGTTGGAACAGCCAAAACTCTGTCTGCTCTCAGTTAAGACCTAATTCACTGTTTAAACATGACTTCAGGTCCGATTTCAGATCGGTCACCTTTTTACTACATGGCAGTAAAGATGTATTTTCTTTTCATCTACAATTACAAAGGTTCATAAAAGCTCATACAGGCTTGATGTACAATGGTATACTTTCTGCTTGCATGCATTCTTGTTGAAGTCTGGAAGTTTTACACACATCATGACACTTCTAAGTGTGTGTAATTCAGTATTATTTATAACCTGTTTATATGCTATTGGGTTCATATAAAATGATAATGAAATAATTGTTGCCATGTGGTGTGACATTCGAGCTTCTATCTATAACGCAGATTATAACGACTTTTTTAAATCATTCTAATTATTTTCCTGCTGTTTTGTATTCTTAAAACATTGGTGTATATACAGTCGTATGCAAATGTTTATGTAACATAGGAGGCATTGAGGCAGGATGCAAGTGCGAGTTGCTTTTATTTAAATGAGAGCCAAAAGTCCAAAAACACAGAGCCAGAGGTGAGTGGAACAGATAAATCTATGAACAAAGTAAACCAGAGCTACACAACAGGGTATATAGACACAATGCAAGACCCCGGGACTGAGCAAACACAGGGTATAAATAAATACCAACAGAAAACGAGAAACACCTGAGACCAATAAGAGGGCGGGGCAGGGAGACAAAGAACAGGTGAAGACAGGGCAGGACAGGGGAGGAGCCAACATGACAACAAAAGCACATGGCAAAAGAAAACAAAAGCACATGGCAGATAAACAAAAACACACAGCACTAGGAAACCAAGAAAAAGGCAAAAACACAAAGACCAGGAGAAAGAGTGAACGGATGTTACAGTTTAGACGTGTAGAAATGTTTAGAAGTGTTAAACTCGGCTAGTAAGTAGGTAAGTAAGGAAGTTTCCTACAGTTTGCAGAAAAATGTCGTATGGCTGTTGTCAGAAGAAAACCTTGTATCTCTAAAATGTTAACTTTACAGGGTAAAGAAAAAAAACTACTTTACTTTTAATGCAAGTCAATGGAACTAGAATTTGTTCCAAGTCTTTTTTTTTCCTTTATCATGAAATTTACCTACAATGTAAAGGGCAACAGGGATTTTCAAATTATGTCAAAAACTGAAAAACGTCAAAAATGGAGATACAAGGTTTTCTTCTGACAACAGCGATATATTTAAGTGTGCTTCAGTTTGCTCCCCTAGAAAAAAATACACAACGTAATTTGACTGGAGGTGTTCAAACTTAACAAACTTGCATTAACTGTGTGGCCAATAGGTGCATTTCTTGCCTGGCTGATGGCAGAATATTGGTTTTGCTCCCATTTTATGCATTACCTCTTATTTCAGTTTTATTTTTTTTTCCATTTCTGTTCATTCTGCTGCGTTTTAATATATATTTTATTATCAAAAACACTGAATAAAGTATGAAACTCAATGCTTAACTGCTGATAAACTAAAATAGGGCTGACATTCAGCACATTATGAATTTATTCAGCCAAAAATACTTCTGCCTTTATTGAATAAAGTATCACTGTTGGGGCAGGACTTTAGATCTGATTTTAGGTCTGTATTTAAAAAACTTAATTCTTAGTATATCCATATTAAACATCATAATCATATGATGGTAAATGCCCTTTGACAGTGATTACTTGTTAGTTCTTCAACCATGATGCACAAACCTCCAGCAAAATATCCTGTGTAGGTGTTTTTGATTACATTTATTGCTGCGTATTCACTAAAAAAAACATGTATTCAGTATTTCTATTTATACATTCATGCACACATTTATCTTTATCATTTAGCATCTCAGGTCTTAACTTATACTGTGTGTAGATAAAGGATTTTGATGCTTTAGAGCTCCACCCACATTTTGCTCCTCTATAAAAGCATTTTTTTTCCTTTTTTTTCTGAAAGCTGCTTTCCTCCTGTAATGTCATTGCAAGAGCACGGCGAGTTTGCTCAGGAGAGTGTTTGCTATCCACGCTCTGTGCCCTCCTTTATCCGTGTTGATATTTGGATTATGCTGAATAACTTGGCAGTTGTCCATTCTGAGCCAATCACATGAAATTAGCTCGGTGTTTAGTTTGGGATTTAGCACATTGCTCTCCATTCCTAAGCAGATGGGTTGTGATGAGCTTCGGTAGCGTCTCTAAAATTACAGCAGGAGTTAAATAAAGTTAAGTAAACTGGCTTTTTTTACAAATTACTTTCTACGACGCAATCTGTGCATGTGCGTGAATGCTGTAACAGGTACAGTTATGTGCAAAAGTTTTGCCCCCCCCCCTAGTTGAGTGACACGTTTTGTTGCTTTCCTGAGTGAAGATAAGTAAAACATCCTCTACAGAGAACATAGTTCTGCACAATTTAAAGCACAATAACTGTTTATTTACTGAAAGTTTTGAGAAAAAATAAAAATTGCCATTTTATATATTGTTTTTATTTTTCCAATGTTAGAATCTGCGCTGTAAGATAAGCTTATTTTCCCTTAGAAAATCAACAAAACTTAATTTGATAAGCATTGAAGCTTTTTCCAGGGCGGCACGGTGGCGCAGTGGGTAGCGCTGGCGCCTCACAGCAAGAAGGGCCTGGGTTCGATTCCCGGCCGGGTGACCAGAGTCATTTCTGTGTGGAGTTTGCCTGTTCTCCCCGTGTCTGCGTGGGTTTCCTCCGGGTGCTCCGGTTTCCTCCCACAGCCCAAAAACATGCAGTCAGGCCAATTGGATGTGCTAAATTGCCCGTAGGTGTGTGTGTGATTGTGTATGTCTGTCTGTCTGCCTTACGATGGACTGGCGACCCGTCCAGGGTGTATCCTGCCTTCTGCCCAATGACAGCTGGGATAGGCTCCAGCACCCCACCGCAACCCAGAAGGATAAGCGGTTTAGATGATGGATGGATGAAGCTTTTGAAGGTACATACAGCTATGTGCCAAGAGTAGAGCCGCATAATATACAGTTATATTATAATAATATATTGATATTGACTGCAATGTGAAAATGTGCCTCTAATCAATTACAGTGTGTTTTACTGTATCACAGTCGCGACAAAGAAACATCCTAAATCTTACGTTTAGTCACGGTGACAACTTCAGTTACACTCTTAAAAAAAAATGGTGCTTCAATATTTTTTTTTAGTAAAGAAAATGGTTCTGTATAGAACCATGAACACTCAAAGAACCCTTTGTATGTAATGTAAAGGGTTATTTGCATCATGAAATGAGTCTTCTGATGGAGAATGTGTTGTATATGGTTCTATATAGAACCTTTTTGAAAATGGTTCTGTATAGCACCAAAAAGGGTTCTTCGACACACTCAAAAGTGATGGTTCTTCAAAAGTTCTTTAGTAATAAAAAAATGGTTCTATATAGAACCATAAGCACTCAAAAAACCCTTTGCATGGGTAAAGGGTTCTTAGCATCGTGTAATGGTTCTTGAAACTGATGTGGATGTGCTGTAGATGGCTCTGTACAAAACCTTTTTGAAAAGTTTCTATGTAGCACCAAAAAGGGTTCTGCTATTGTTATGATGTCAAGCTTGTAACAATAGAAGAACCCTTTTTGGTGCTATATAGAACGCTTTTTAAAAAGGTTCTAAATAGAACCATCTACAGCACATTCATGCAAGTTTTTCATCAATCTGAAGAATTTTTTATCATGCAGAGAACACTTTGTGCTCATGGTTCTATATAGAACCCTTTTCTTTACTAAAGAACTTTTGAAGCACCATCTTTTTTAAGACTGTAGGATTATGACATTACATATTGTAGAATAACAGTTTTTAAGTTAATGATTTTATCCTTCAAATCTGGATAGGAAAACAGTATCACACAAACATCCTAAATAGACTAAATTAAAATACTGTCAGAACTTTAGGATAAACTCCTTTTCAGGCAGCTGTGACAGACAGCGTAGTTCACTATAACTACAACTAGCATGATAGCGGTCCATTTGTTCATATTGCAAAATGGTTTCAGTAGTAAGGTTTTTTTTTCGCTATAAAAATGTCGGACCTTATTACCTTTATGTGTTCATATTGATGAAAACTTGTCAAATACAATATTGCGACGATGACAGTGAATAATGAGGAGACAGAGTTGAATGTGTGGCTGTTTATTAGGAGGAATATCGTTAGCGTGGTCCACATGCCGACAAAAACATTGTAAAATACGAACTGAAACTGGCAGGTGGTGACACTGACGAACAGCAAAGGGCACCGTCACAATATTACTAACTTTCCGTTTATTGTACTTTTGTTTTGACCTTTGTTTACATCGATATCGAAAGCTTTTTTAACATTATATGGATTATGTGTTTACGTTTCAGCTGTGCGAGTATCGTCGGTTGCTCGGCAACAGACTTAACAATTGATTAATAAACCTTGATCGAGTAGTTTAGGATTTCCTAACTTGAGATAAGATGCTGTAAGATGAGATATAATATAAAAATGAAGATCTGTAATACGAATGTATGGAAAAACATATCTTTACTTTGTCAGACCTTTTGTGGCCCTTTTATTACTCAAGATATTTGTGTTCTCCAAAAAAGTGACCTATTTTGATTAAAATAACACAGGCTAATCTTTAGCCATGTCACGTTAGTGATTACCAGTGTGTTTTTAGCGTGTCAGAATCGAAATATGTAGCGGTATAGTCACAATACTGGTGTTTTGTCCATATCGTGCATCCCTTGTCTTTTGCTCTCTGTGTGATGGCAGTGATTCGTGGCCAGATTAGCTCAGTTAATGAGGAAGGAGACAGATGACTGCAGTTAAATTATCCTCACCATCACCTTCATTGTCTTTTATCTAACTTAATGATAGGTTTCACTCTAGTGCTATAATCGGAAAATGCACATGTTCATCTCCTGGTCATTCAAACTCAGTCTTAAGCCATTAATCAGGATGTGGGGGTGAATAGGACTTGAAAAGGATACGGCCTACCGCACACTCAGCATCTTACTATCACTGTACTGTATTAAACCCAGAACACAAAACAATTATATGTGACACATGGACACATTTGGAGTTTACTCCCAAAAGGGATCAGTGTAAACACCTTAAGATAAACAGAGTCTGTTTTCACCTCCGCTAATGTTAGCAGTGTTTTGGAAAGAGCACATTTGAATCCGGTTCGGTAAGGAATAGCTGTAGTATTATAAAAGTATTATAATTATAATATAAATAATAGTTATCAGAAGAAAACCTTGTATCTCCAAAATGGTAACTTTAACATACTTTACTGTTAATGTAAGTCAGTGGAACCAGACTTTTTTCAAGTCATTTTGGGCTGTTTCTTTTAGTCCATTCATCATGAAATTTACACACAACGTTAAGGACAACACATACGTATATATACTGATAAGGCTTACATATATAAGGGCAACATATCACTGCTGTCAGAAGAAAACCTTGTATCTCCATTTTTGTCGTTGTTTCAGTTTTTGTCATAATTTGAATTACATTGTGTTTAAATTTCATGATGAATGGACCAAAAGAAACAGCCCAAAATTACTTGTAAAAAAGTCTGGTTCCATTGACTTACGTTAAAAGTAAAGTATGTTTTTTCCTTCTCCTGTGAAGTTACGATTTTGGGGATACGAGGTTTTGATGTGTGTGTGTGTGTGTGTGTGTGTGTGTATATATATATATATATTATATATATATATATATATATATATATGTATATATATATATTACTGTTAAGGCTTAAGCTAAATAGTTTTTTTTGTCCAAAAAGAATTTCTTGTGCTATTTTCCAAACAAAAAAAGTGTGGTGTGTTGTTTATTATTATTTGTGTTGTGTAAATAGCTTATATAGTCGCATTTACATACAAGAGGGGCTATTTGTTATGATTTGTACCAAAATAAATGATGCATTTACTTGTTGAATGATCATAACTCCATAAATCCTGTGCATGTGCTTTCTCTCTCTCTCTCTCTCTTCTCTCTCTCTCTCTCTCTCTCTCTCTCTCATGAATTCATGGCTAATCTGTGATCACAGCTCTAATGCACACAGACAGGCCCTTCCCCCCTCCTCAGTGCTTGAGTCATCACATTTATTGAGCATTCAGACTGAGACTGCTGACCCAAGAGGGGCTCACACTGTGTCCAGACCAGATAACTGTATTCAGGAAGACTGAACAGATTCTAAATCAGTGTTTTTATTTTATGCATTTATTTGTTTGTTTTTATTTTTAGATAAGCATCAACCTTTCAAAGTCTGGGTAGAAAGCTGTTGAAATGTATTAAATTGCCATTTGCTCAAATGATGTTTACCACTTAACTGAATTACTCTGGAATTGTTTTCACACTGATCGTCCTGTTTAAGGCAGAAAAAGTATTGCGTTTCTCAGACTGTGCATTGTGAGTTGTTAAGTAATCTCAAATACTTTGGCTTGTGTGGTTACTGATGATATGTGACATACAAAAAGATGGCTGCTACTGTTTTTAGCTATTACATGTACTATTTTCTGTAGTTGCATCCATACAGTGGGTTCCGTTGTCAGACATCTCAGAGTGAACCGGTTCTCCAGAGTGATTACGTTTGTGCTGCTGGTCAAAACTGCGCTTACCTTTACCCACAGAATGCCCTGAGCGTCAAGACCCCTCGGGTGAGGCCACAGCGCCCCCAGACTGAGGCCTACAGCACCAACCAAAGCCCCGTCTCTTCACTGCCCTCTTTGGATGGGTGGGCTGCAGTCTGCAGGAGTCTCCCCCCAGAAAGGTCTGTCCCAACAAGGGCTCTATTTGAGTTTTAATGCGTGAGCATCACTAAAAATCATTCATAATGAGAGACACTAGTTTCTTAGTGCCAATTTAGACCACTTTTATTAAAATCTCTCACAAACACGACAAATACTGGAACCTTGAACTTGAAAAATTTTAGATGACTAAAGCTTACTATTTTCTTTTTAATAATTTTGAATAATTTGAGTTTTAATTTTTTTTTTCCGATTAAAAAAAAAGCAAAAAATATAAGTATTGGTAACGAGAATTGTGTTAATATTTTTTATCCCCATAATGCTTATGACACTCTACGGAGCCTATGAAAGCTATCTGATGCTCTCCGCTTAGTATCTGCTACCCACCTGATAGTATATGGTGCGCACCACATAGTCTCTGGTCCTCACCTGATTTTTCCCCAAAAAAGGACACATCCTTTCAGAGTCTCTGTAACACTCCAATGTTTATGGATGTTTCGTGAGAATGCCTCCACTGCTGTGATATCAATTTTCTTTTTCATTTGAAAACACCTACTGACCTTTACACTGTGTGAAACATTAATAATGAATGGACCAGAGATATAGCTTTGAATAAAATATTTTTCCGTCACACTAAGGTTAAGAGCATTGTCTTGTTACCATTTTGGAGAAACAAGATTTATAACAGCCTGGTCATATTTTTTAAAACCAAACCAGAAACGGCTGATTCAGAATCTTGATAACGATCTTAATTAGTAAGCTTTTAACTGTAACTGGTCTTTTCTGATTTATGCTGTAATTGGAATAGAATTATGCTCTGTGCTACCACAGTGCGTCTTCGTGTGGGCTAGAAACCTTTTTACTGTCCCATGATTTTATTCATGGGGTTTATTTGTTGCCTCCCTGGCCTCGGCCGAAAAAAGTCCCTAAATCTCTGAATCCAGCATGGCTTTCATCTGAGCAGGGAGAGGCCTGTTAAAAATAGCATGCAGTGCCTGTTCTCTATAATAATCAATACTTTATTGAATGCTAGGTGTGTATCATTGCTGTCATATTGTAACTTTAGAGAAAATGGAAACTTTACAGAAGAAGGATTAATGTACAGTATTATGCAAAAGTCAGAGACCCTTTATTTATTAATTAATGTTGGTTAAGTGCAAGTTTTAAATTTGTCAGCATCATATAAAAAAGCAGGAAAAATATATTTAACAGAAAACAGAAGCCTCAATACATTTTCCGTTATTAAGTGTGTCTGCCGTTGTTTACATCTTCTGTTCTTTTCAGGAGACTAGCTTTCAGTCATTCAAGTAAACATCCAGGAGTATTTTTCCACCCCTCTCTTTTTTTGCTTCCTGACATCTGTGCATCCTTCCAGACCCATAGCGCTGAGTCGTCTTCTCACAGTGGAAGGATGGACAGAAACACCTGTGGATGTTTTCAGATCTGATCAGCTTGATTTTCTCCTCTCTCTCAAAGATGGTAGCTTTTAGTGCTGTTTGTGACGGTTTTGGTGGTCTGTTGGATCTTGGATTGTTGTTAGGGTAGGACTGAAAAATTATCATTTTCATGATCATCATTTATATCGAAATCACAGTTTTAGATGCTGTTTTCAAATCGCGAGTGTTGGAAATTTATCATAGTCTGTTTTATCAACAATGTTGTGAATTTTAAGTGGGAAATTTTAACCCAATATCATTGAGCTTGTGGGCTGCCTGTAGATGGGTTAGGCCAATTAGAAGCAACCAAATACTCGTGCTGTATACATAACAACACAACAACAACTAACTGGTGCAGTATGTCCAGCATTCGAGTCTCATGAGCCTCAAAATGTGGAGATTTACTAAAATAATGGGCTTAAATCATGTAGAAATTGCAAAATGGGTCAGAAAATGTACAATTAGATTTTCTCCAAATTGTTCAGCCTTATCCCACTTTTTGTGAATTTGAACGTCTGAGTTTCGGAAACCATTTTTTCACCTACTTTTCTTTGAATTTGAATTTGAAAGTGGAAGTGGATTATCTTGAAGGCCCTTCTAACAAAGGTTAAAGAACAGAGTGAAAAGGTGGAACTTCAGCTCAATATGAAGAAGACTAAGGTTATGACAGCAGGACAGACTGTAAACTTTACCACTGATGGAGAAGATGTGGAAATGGTGGACAGCTTTTGTCTTCTCAGATCAATTATTAACAAAAGAGAATCCAGCTCTCAAGAAATATGAGACAGACTGGCACTCAGCAGAGTGAGGATGAGGGAGAGATTTGTTTCTGCAGACAAAGATCAGAAATGTCCAGGCTATGGTCTTCTCTTTGGTTTTTTATGGATCTGAAAGCTGGACAATAAACAAGCAAGGCAAGAAAAATGTTAATGCCTTTAATGAACTTCGGTGCTGGCGAAGACTTTTGAGTGAACCTTGGAAGGAAACGAAAGCAAACAAATGGATCCTCAAGCAAATCAGGCCTCACTTCTCACTCAAAGCCCAGATAACCAAACTGAAGCTCTTATTTTTGGACATATTCTGAGAAGAGCCAGGTTATTAAAAAAGACCATTATGCTTGGAACTGTTGAAGCTAAAAGAGGAATAAGATGAGCAGTTACAAGACGGATGGAGACAGTCAGAGGAATCATGAACCAGCCATTCAGAAGCCCAAACGTCAGCATTAGAACATCAGCCATGTGGTTGGCAGGAGTCGGAATTGACTTGACAGCACTTAATAATCTGCTCAGAAGAATCTCCTGAAAAATGAATAACTTCTACTTAATGGCTGTTTTGATTAGAAATCAGCATAAATGAAAGGTGATCTCTGACTTTTACCCAGTGTTGCATTCAGTAATATGGTTCATTATAATAAATAAAAAAATACACTTTCAGAATACAATTGGAATACATATTGATAAGGCAGAAGAATGAGGATATTTATTTTTTGTATTCTGAATTCATGTTCCCAGCACTTGTATTTTACATCTCATCCCTGACTGTATGTTAATGTGGCAGGATTTTATTCCAGGTTATTTTGGGCCATTCCTAATGATCCATTCATCATGAAATATTGACACAATGTGAAGGGCAGCTTGCATTTTCAAATGGTGTAAAAACACTAAAATGCAAAAAAGAAAAAAGTTATGAGGTTTCAGTATGATTATATGATGATGCGTGTGTGTGCATGTGTGCATGTGTGTGTGAAGTTGGTTCCATTGGGCTTTTATCCTCTCTTTGCAGTGCCCTTGACGTCTGCACAAAGCCCAGCCAATCCTGCTGTGGATCCCTCGAGCCTCCAAGTGAGTAGCAGCTGCTCACCTCGTGTGTGTTTGTGTATGCGCACACATCCGTATGTGCGGTGTGTGTGTGTGTGTGTGTGTGTTCACGCAGGCATGTGTGTTCTACAGCTATTAACCATCAGTGCCCTGGCTAAACACTGTTTGAAATTCTGTAAACACTGATAGGACTCCCCTCACAACTGGAAATGTTTGATATGAGCTTTATTCACTTATGCTTATTGCATTTCTGAGCAGGAGGGGCTTAGCGGTGGGCGCGACGTGAAGTCATGGGTTTAGATCCCGCAATATGGACCCCAGCTAAAGTAAACATAAATATTTCCACTTTTGCCAAGATTAGGTTTTTTTTTCAGTTTTGTAGGGCATGAAATATTCTCCTGTCGAAGGAATGGCTTGTTCCTGTTCTCAGACATTTTAAATATGATTATAAATTATCAGCATTCACCTGCTGGACGCTGTGCAAGAGTTTTACAGCTCAGATGGTGCATAGTGCGTATATAATGCATAAATAATATTGCATGGTCACATGGTAATCAGAACTGACCATTATGTCAAAACTGACCACAAATCAATTATGACCATTAAAGCCTAAACTACAGAGGGAAAAAACATGGTTAAAGCGATTGTTTGTCCACAAACAAAATTTACCCAATTTTTTTAACCCCCTTCTTGGCTTTTTTAGCTTTGCACTGAAGCTAAAAGGCTAATGTAGCTAACTGTAAAGGAAGCTTATGGCCACCCGTTAGCATCATGCAAACGGTATGCCTAAATCATGACATACTTGCCTTAAACCGTGTCAAATTAAGTAATCTCAAATACACTTGCTTGTGTGGTTTCTCCAAGAAATGTCAAAAGTATTGGTTCTTCAATGTTAAATCAGTACCAAAATTGAAAAACATTCTGCTCATATGCTATCCTGAGACCTCCTCCTGACAGCAATTGGTCCTAACATCACATTGTCACATCACAATACAGAGGGCCAGTCGTTCGGTCTCCATACATAGATTTCGCCATGTGGTGTTTTTTTACCTCCATCATAGTGAATATGATGAGTTGCTGATTTGCGCACATACCAAAACACGTGCAATTGTAGTAGAAGGTAGAACAACATTCTGCCCTGTTCACTCTGGTTCATTGGGCTTTCTAGTTCTCTTCCTGAACATTGTAAAGACTGCCAAGATTACTCTATTGAGGATGGTGAGTTCGATCCCTGGTGATGCTACAGCCATCCGTGGCTGGGAGTCCTAGAGAACTCAACTGGCCTCGCTCTCTCTGGGTGGGTAGTTTGGCCCCCCCTTCTTTCCCCATCACTAACCGCGATGCTAGTCAGCGCAGGCGTCTGTTAGCTGGCATAACAGATCTGGCAATTGGCGCTTTCCTCCGAGCGCGTTCGGCTGTCCAATGACGTGTGAGCGGCAGTTCGAAAAGATGCGGTGGTTGACTTCACAGGTCTCGGAGGAAGCCTGTGCTAGCCTTCACCCTCCTAGCCTGGTAGTATCGTGTGACTGGGGGAGTCCTAACTAGTGGGTGGAATTGGGGAGAAAAATTGGGTAAAAAAAAAATAAATTGGTTGGTCGATGGGCTAAAAGAATGCAAAGTCTAAATTTTGTTTCTTTAGTGTAGTGCTAGAGCTATGAAGCTAACTTGGCTAACATGGTCTAGACGTTCTTCATCACCCAAAACTTCTCTCAGCCTGGTCCCAAACCACATCTAAGTCTTCATTTAAGGTGCACTATATGATTTTGGAGAACAATTGTTGATATTTGATCTCATCAGCAAAACAAATACACCCCTCCCTTCAGTGCTCCTCCAGAAGCTCCGCCTCCCAAATTAATGGTTGCGCATTGCCAAGGCAAACAGCGCTTTTTTAGATCTTTGGGGTCATAAAACCCTTTGCAAATGTTGTACAGACAGATATCACAGTATGACGTTAGAGCGAACGACACAGCAAATAATGGAACTGACGTTTTAGGTAGCGGGTTAGCAAACTATCGCTACAGTTGCTGCTGTGAACCTAATCAGTTGCTATCACAAACGGGACAAAACAATACTGACATATTGATTCTGTGAACAGCAAAAATGAGTTAATGTTATCCACCTGTCAGTCAGGAACAGCCTCCTCATCCCTTTTCATGCATTTCAACTCTAAATAAGCTTAAGTCAGCTTCTGTTTCGCCAGCTTCTTTTTTTAATTTTCCCGTTCCACTTAAAGTCTGCATGCACAATGCTGTGTGTGGTCGCTGTCTGGGCAGGGCAGAACAAAACGTGGAGAGAGCCGATGTTTTCACAGGGCGGGACTAACATGCATGCGCGGCCGGACTGGCAGTGAAAACAAAAACACAGAGAAACTCAGCAGCACACAGGGAGGGGGCGTGACTTCATTCGCTTCTCATCACCCCATCACTTGTCTTTATATAGAAAATAGTTGTTTGCTGCTATATTAATATTTAAAATGTGGTGTATATATAACCTTTAAGATCAAACAGTCTTGTCCATGCAGTTTTGGGCACACCACGTCATCAACAAGTCAACCTTAATGAACATCTTTATGAACGACCAAAATGTGGGTATTGTGACAGCTCTAGTTTCTGACACTGTATGACATAATGCTATCTATAAAAATGGACAAAACTACATTGCATAGCTAAAAACACTACATTGCATTCGTCTTTAAGGCTGAATTTTGCCCTTACTGTTGTCCTCTGATAAATTAAGTACTGCACTTTCAGAGTAATGAGCGAGTTGCATGATCTGAGATCAGAAATGGGTTTCATAGTTTTGGCCCTCTCTTGTTTTCCCCCCCCATCGTCTCTCGCACCCTTTTGCCCTTCAATCTGCTCTTCTCCAACTGGCCTGCCAAACCACCAGCGTCAAAGGTTTCGGGTGACCCGAAACATGCTGGGCGTTTTTTCCATGTGTAAATGGAGCTCTGCTGCGAAACCATGTGGCTTCCCCATCGACCAATCAAAAAAAGAAAGCATGTCCAGGACGAATATGATGCCGTTTAGAATGCAAGTGACAAAAATGCCCCCCGGAAACTTCCATCCACCGGCGGCCATCTGATTAATCGCGATTATCATACCATTATCATGCAATCACCCTCTAATCGTACGTGCAGGGTCCCATCTGCGGGGTGTGTGTGTGTGTGTGGAATATCTTCCATAAAGAGAGCCGTTTAAATATTAATCCTATCTATAATTTCTGAACTTCATATTACAACTGCATCCAGCTTTTTCGCCTGAATTGGAATGAATGGCTCTGTCGCAGTAAGAGATGTCATTAGCTTCATTAATTGTGGTGCAGAGGGGTTTTTGGGGTTGCAGGCTGCTGTTTGTTTGCACAGACTGAATGACAGCGCTGATAGGCAGAGCATGAGATAAAGACTCTTTGCCATGGATCGCTGCCTTGCCCACTGGTTTTTAATTCTGCAAAGCCACAATGCTTGAAGGTGAGCTGCTTGTGGAAAGGAGAGAATTGCTTGTGCTGTATTAAACAACACTTCCATTCAGATGTAGACTAAGAAATATTAATTATAAAATGTGTTCCTTTTATGTCTCTTGCGCTTAATTATACTTGGACAAACACGTATGTCAGAAATATAAGATCATGATACTTTAATGCATTTTCATGGTACACATAGTAACTGGTCTCTAAAGTGGAATGGACAAAAGGCGCCAGAATTACAATAATGCCACATTAAAAAAATTCAGTGGAAAAGCCAAAGTAAGCTATATAAGGGGTAGGTTTTTTAAAAGTTTCTATTTATTAATTTCTTTATTTTTTCAAAATGTCTCCAAAATAAAATCATTGAGTGTAAACAAAGTCATGAAGAGAGGTGCTGATAGGAACCAGGCGTCTGAGGTGTTTAATGCCTCGCATGAAATGTCCCCTGTGAATGACATTGGGCCTCATTCATGAATATTTTCATGATTTTTTTTTTTTAATTTGTTCTTGAGAAAGAAAAAGTCTACGTCAGATTCATGATGTGTTCTTAAAGCGCAGAATTGTTCACACCTTTGCACTCTCGAGTGTGTGTAGATTCTGTTCTTACCTAAGAGCAAATCCCAGATTAAAAAATATTGATGAGAATCATTAAAACTGTGTAAAAAGGTTTTAGGAAGAAATTTCGTCTTAAGAGAGGAAGCTGAATGAGGCCCATTATTTACAATGATCTTTGGGGAATTCCCCTTTAACAAAGAACAGGTGTAAAACATTTTAAGAAACTAGTGAGCATCAAATCAGTCAAGGAACACTACTGTCATGACCAGTCAGTGCATTCCAATACGTTATTAATATACATATGGTTGTTGTTGTTTACAGGCTCTGTATTATTAATCTGCATCTGTTTTTCTTCTGAACTATGGTTCTTTATTGTTCCACTAGTGCTGACGCTACCCGTAATACTTGAACATCAACATATAGCTCACCTTTAAGATGGATTTATATGATTGATATTTAGATTAAGCCTTATGTTTCTAGACGTTATGTGAGCTATATATGCCCAAATGCTTGTCCAATGTACTTATATGTCTGTCTGCTTGTTTAATTGCACTGTTTTCATAGTGTTTTACCAGTTTAATAGCTTCAGACAAGGAATGAACCTAAAAGGCAGCATGATATGGACAATATACTAGTACTGTGATTGTATTGCTACATATAGCAATACACTTCTTGATATTGATGAATTAATAATCTGACAACATTAAAGATTCGCCTGCATTATTTTAACGAAAATTGTTTAGTTTTGTTTACTCGGATTACTTCATTCATTAAAACACCCACGAAAACAACCCTATAGAATTGTTAATAACATTGTGATTGGTTGTTTGGGCTCATTTGTGTTAGAGTTGGATGGCATCCACTCCAGCACCAATCAGTCTTGTCGAAGCATCAGTTTGCTGGAATCTGACCTGTTCAACAATTTGTAGAGCTGTTAATGTGTGCTAGCACCACACCCAACACCCTTCCACTGTCCCAGTTAGCACTGCACTACATTTAGTAGTTGTTGTTGTTAGATTAAGGTATAAGCCACTTGAGGCCCTACAGTACTGCGTTTTTATCACAGAGAAGGGTGTTCTTTGTGCCTAAAAGCCAATTCCTTGCGATAAAATTGCAGTAACGCACAGCCTCAAGTGCTTTTATGAAATGGTGGCCAACATAAAATATAATAAAATACACACAAAAAAAAATTATCATTAATAATAGCTGACATTAACAAGTATTCCACCAATAGTTTGTTTAGCGTATGGTATCGTTGTTAAGCAACTATGAACTGCCGAACGAGGAGAAGAACATTTGGTCTGCCATGACTGTACACTGCGGTCATTTCACTGGCCAGTATCATGATAACAATTAGCAGATGATATATTGTTTAGCCCTAATGTGAATGTTATGCTGGCCAAACTGGTTGGTTATGATTACACACTAATTGTCCTCTTTTCACCTTTTCAAGGGCCCAAGAAATGGAAAACTGAGTCTGATGTGGTATTTGTTAGTAGTAAGTGATGCGGTCCGTACAGTCCATATCTGGAAACTTAAGCTGCAAAACCTTGTTTTTGTGTTCTCACGAAATCAACAGGGTTACATATTTCAGCCAGCTTATATTACCTATTTGGCCTGCAGCAGTTTAGCCCCGCCCATTCACACTGAAGTGTTTCAGCATGGACTGCTTTCAGAATCAGAACATAGTACATTTACGTATCGTCGCTGTCCAAGGAGAAATGTCTCCATTTTTGCCAATTTTTTATTTTACATCATTTCAACACTGCAGCTGTCCTTTAAAAATATGTGAAAATTTCATGATGAGTGGACCAACAGAAATGCTGCAGAAACTCTGGAGTATATAAAACCTTTTAACATTTACTTCCATTGAAAGTGAGGTTTTTGCACTCTCCTATAAAGTTACCATTTTAGGGATGCGCTTTTCTTTGGACAGCGACGATATATGAGTCTTAAAGGCACAGTAGAAAAACAGCCTGTTTAATCCTAAGGGATAAAGTAAGGTTGGAAAATGGTCATGTAAAAGTCAATTATGACTGTGGTGGCATATCAAACCATGCAAACGTAATAAGCGGGCTTCGGGGGCAAAAATAAAATACGAGAAAAATGTAGGATGTTGATCTGAAGGAATAAATGACATTTGGAATTGAGTTCAGCTGATTCAAGATCAGATTGTCCTTTCTGGACATTCTCCAGCTACGTTTCAAACGACTTTACTTTTCTTTGCTGCCAGTTTGACAGCCGTTCGCTCCATACAGCGTGAGGGGAATATTAGCATTCGGAGGTTTTGCCTTTTGGCTTTGGCTCCATATCCAGCCTATTGTCTCTCTCAGTTGCTGTCGGCTCCTTTCTGCCTGCGCCGGTCCCTGCACTGAGAGCGCGAGACAACAGCTCTAATGAAACATCCTCCTATTGTTCTCTTAATTGCCTGCGTTATTGAATGCAGTGCAATCCACACCTGGCCCCAGCCCTGGAGAGCTCCGTACTGTTCCTAATGTTGCTCTACGCTCCCTCTTTCTCCTTCTCTGGCTTTCGCTATCTTTTTTTTTTTTGGCCTGCTTTCGTTTCCATGTCACACACATATATATATACACACACTCAGACACTCGCTGATGCCCTTGCACACGCTCTCTTCGCCTCTAAATGCAGGATTAGCCATTGAAGGGGGGGCATGCACGGTTATCAAATTCATACAAGCTGCCCCGGCCATTGTGCGGCTCTTTTTAATTAAATCCTACTGGGTGGCAGGAACTGACCTTTTGAGTGCGGAGCTGATTAAGTGCACAATGGTCTGCTATTTCTCCTCCACAGTCTGCTGCGTAGAGCCACTGATTAACTTTCTGTTTGGAAGCGAGACCCGTTCGGATCGAGGCTCATTCACACCAAAGCCGAGGAGGAGGAGGAGGAGAGGGGAAAAAAAGAAATCAATTCTGTTCAAGAATGTAGATTAGCGCCGATAGCATCGGGGTAATTAACAGCAGGTAGGAAGCTGGAAGCGGCCCAATTTGCACAAGTATGCTACGGTGAAAAAAAGGTCAATTTGTTAACCGAGATGGATATTTAAGAGGATAAAGGTGAAATTAGAGAGGTTTCGTTTTCGTTCGAAAGGATTAGAGGGTTGTTATCGTATTCTCTGTGTGAGGGGCTTGATGGGATTGCGCGAGGACGTCACGAGCGATGCGCCATTTCGGAGTTCAAGAGCCTTCAGCAAGGTTAAGCTCACCAATCAGTCTTAAGTCACAGGATTTAAGAAAAATATTTAACTACTAGAGTGATAAGTGGAAGAATTAAGGCATTCTCTTCAGTTAGTATAGATCACTCTGCATCGAATCGCAGCATCACTCACATTTTTATGTGAAAAAACTAGCAGAATTTTAGTGTTGCTACATATATAAAGAGGTGTGCGCGAATGTGTGTGTGAAAAGGAGCTGGTCTTCACTGTGTGTGTGTTTTATACAGTGCTATGCAAAAGACAGATGTTTCATTTCTAGTTAAAATGGCCATTTTTTAGTGTTAAGGCTGAAAACGTGATTCGAAAAAGCCTCAACAACTTAATATCAGTATTTAATGTGTTCACCCTTTGCCTTTATTAGAGCTTCCATTCTTTTTGGGAGACTTGCTTTCAGTCTTTCAAAGAAATCTGCAGGGATATTTTTCCACACCTCCAAAGCTCAGTATTGGAAGTTGGTTGCATTTCCTGCTTCTTACAATCCAAATAATCCCAATGACTAATTTCGGTGTAACCCTTACTCCACATCTGATATGTCCAGTTTCAGTGTTCTAGGGTGACTTACCTTCTTTATCTCCTTTTCTCAATAAGAGCTTCTTGACAGCTACACATCCTTTCAGACCCACAGCGCTGAGTCGTCTTCTCACAGTGGAAGGATGGACAGAAACACCTGTGGATGTTTTCAGATCCGGAGCTTGATTATCTCTCAAAGTTGAAACGCTTTAAGTGCTGTGTATCTGATGGGGACAGTTTGGGGAACACCTATTGTTGGGAGGTCACATCGTTTGATTTAAGACTGGAAGGATAGAAGAGTTTAAAGATATTATTAAGTAGTTTATTAATGCGATAACTACTGTGACTCAACAGTTGGGACACTCAGAACTGGGCAGTTAATTGCTGTCTATAATAATGTCAAAGTCTTAATGAAGTAAATTCTTAAATATCATAAAAGAGCACAGATTAGGCATCAGGTATATCAAGTACATATCGAAGTATATATTGGTTATGTAGTATTTGTGCACTTACAAAGCTCTTAAGAGAAAAGTGTGGACAACCTTACAATAAAGGTCACAAAAAAACATTAATAATAAAGTTAAAGTAATAATTTAAATAATCTATCTATCTATCTATATATATATATATATATATATATATATATATATATATATATGTTGAAACTAATGCATTAGAAGTGAAGAAATGCACGTATGCTTCTTGAAGAGAACAGAAAAAGCAAGCATATACATGAAGACAGTGAAGCCCATTCACAGATCTCAGCCTTTACCAAGAAGTCTTATCTTAGTACATAGATGATTGTTAAATAGTAGAGCGAGTATTTACTGAATACTCTCTCTACCATACCAGTCAAGATGATCTTAACTCTAAGCTCAGTTTAGGCAACCACCAAATTGCACAACTATCTGACAGTCTGCCATCTTCATCAAGTACTTCAGTTGGTACCTTAATATTTATTTAATTACTAAATATTACCATTAGTTAATGGCTATGTGATGGTTTACTTTTAATGTTTGTCCTGGTGATTAAGTTACTAAGTAAGACTTTTGTTTGACATTCAGTAAACTGTTCATTAGTGCATTAGCGCATTAGTAGTTCTGACTGTCCCAATTGTTGAGTAAATGAATCAACAACAACTACTGAATAAAACTAAAACAACGTAACTTAATAAAATCTAAAAATAATTCTAGTTCTTGTTTCTATCAGTAGTTAATGATTAGTTACATTATGTAATCGTTCAGTTATGCTTATAACTTAATGTACTGTTGATAAATGTACTCTTGTAAAGTGTGATCACTTGTACTGAATTGTTGTTTTGACTGCAAATGAAACAAACAAAAGTGTGATCTGTGTTTTTTTTTTCAAACTGAAAGAGTAAAAGCATTTCTCTTTGGTTACTGAGGCTGAAGTTAGGTCTAGGGTTGGGCCTAATATTCTTATTACACAAAAGTACTAACATATCGTTGCTGTGCAAAAAAAAGTTTGTCTTTTTTGTTGATTTTTATTTTTCTACATCATTTGAGTGCCATAAGAGTCCTTTACACTGTGTGAAAGTTTCATGATGAATGGACCAATAGAAAAGCTCCAGAATCACTTGGAATAAAACGTGTAAAGATACTATTTTGTTGCTGTTTTTCTTTGAACAGCAGCAATATGTATAAAACATATGAGACGTATTATTACTGCATGTAGATTCTTACATATATAATACATGTGGAATATAAGTGTGTCCTGACTTTTAAACAGACGTGTGTGTGTGTGTGTGTGTGTGTGTGTGTGTGTGTGTGTGTGTGTGTGTGTTCTGGTTAGGATGTAGCAGACTCGTCCAAGCTTCTTCATGTGCAAACCAACCAAACAGGAATCCTCACAGGTGAGACTAGAATCAATATTTTTCTTAGTTCGCAGGTCTTACACACAATTACTGCTAGTAATTGTTCCTTTTACACTCATACAACACATTTTTGCAATTTTCCTTTTCACTTTTCTTTGTGTGAGACGGCAAAATACTTTTGATCTCATCAGTTGGGATGGTTTAAGTATGACCATGTGATTATACTTCTAAAAGGGTTAAACCCCTTTAGGCCCCTTTTGCCTTCATAACTACATAACTTAAATAAGTTATAGGAATTACTGGCTAATAAGTCTTTAGTTGGTCCCTTTTTATTCATATTTAATCTTCATTATCATATCTGGGGTTCAAAGGGTTAATACTACGGACGGGCATTTAAGTTCAATTTGATATTCGATTTTTCACAGAATTATTTGAATAATATTCAATGAATTTTTGCCTACCTGGCATTTTATTTGTCATTCATTTTTATTGATCATTTACAAAAGCACAGCATTTTAGATTGTGTTTTTTTTTTCTTTTTTTTCTTCCTGTTCAGTCCTTTTTTGTTTCCTGTTGTTATTGTTGACCATTTGAAATGGGGCAGTATATTAACCCTGAACATGAGAATTCACATTACTGAGACCTGTAGCTTTTACTGTAACATTTTAGTGTAGCACTATCAAGCTTTACTTAACCTGCCTATGATTTGTTTTTATTAAGACTATATGGAGTATATAAAGTATGCGGACGAGTTCAGGTGTTTCAGCCACACCCATTGCTAACTGGTGGGTAAAATTAAGTACACTATATTGCCAAAAGTATTCGCTCATCTGCCTTCACACGCATATGAACTTGAGTGACATCCCATTCTTAATCCATAGGGTTTAATATCATATCGGAGTGTGTTTGTGGGAATTTTTGACCATTCTTCCAGAAGCGCATTTGTGAGGTTGGACACTGATGTTGGACACTGATGTTGGACGAGAAGGCCTGGCTCGCAGTCTCCGCTCTAATTCATCCCAAAGGTGTTCTGTCAGGGTTGAGGTCAGGACTCTGTGCAGGCCAGTCCAGTTCTTCCACACCGAACTCGCTCATCCATGTCTTTATGGAGCTGCTTTGTGCACTGGTGCGCAGTCATGTTGGAACAGGAAGGGGCCGTCCCCAAACTGGTCCCACAAAGTTGGGAGCATGAACTTGTCCAAAGTCTCTTGGTCTGCTGAAGCATTAATTTACACTTGGCACAATGCAGTCAGACAAGTACCGTTCTCCTGGCAAGCGCCAAACCCAGACTCGTCCATCGGATTGCCAGATGAAGAAGTGTGATTGGTCACTCCAGAGAACACGTCTCCACTGTTCTAGAGTCCAGTGGCGGCGCTTTACACCACTGCATTCGACGTTTTGGCATTGCGCTTGGTGATGTAAGGCTTGGATGCAGCTGCTCGGCCATGGAAACCCATTCCATGAAGCTCTCTATGCTGTTCTTGAGCTAATCTGAAGGCCACATGAAGTTTGGAGGTCTGTAGAGATTGACTCTGCAGAACGTTGGCGACCTCTGCACACTATGCGCCTCAGCATCCGCTGACCCCGCTCTGTCATTTTACGTGGCCGACCACTTCGTGGCTGAGGTGCTGTTGTTCCCAATCGCTTCCACTTTGTTATAATACCACTGACAGTTGACTGTGGAATATTTAGAAGTGAGGAAATTTCACAACTGGACTTGTTTCATAGGTGGCATCCAATCACGGTACCACGCTGGAATCCACTGAGCTCCTGAGAGCGACCCATTCTTTCACTAATGTCTGTAGAAGCAGTCTGCAGGCCTGGGTGCTTGGTTTTATACACCTGTGGCCATGGAGGTGATTGGAACACCTGAATTCAATGATTTGGATGGGTGAATGAATACTTTTGGCAATATAGTGTATATAGCCTTGCAGTCTCGATAGACAAACACTGACATTAGAATGGGTCGTACTGATGAGCTCAGTGACTTTAAACATGGCGCTGTCATAGGACGCCACCTCTGCTACAAGTCAGTTTGTGAAATTTCTGTCCTGCTAGATCTGCCCCTGTCAACTGTAAATGCTATTATTGTGAAATGGAAGCACCTAGGAGCAACAACAGCTCAAAAGTGGTATACCCTGTAAACTTACTGAGTGGGGCCTCTGAGAGCTGAAGCGCACAGTGCCTGTTCTGTCTGGAATCATTCACTAAAGGGTTCCAAATTGCTTCTGGAAGCAACATCAGCAAAAGAACTGAGCATCAGGAGCTTCACAAAATGGGTTTCACTGGACGAGAAGCTGCACACAGGCCAAAGATCAAAATGCACAATGTGGTTTAAAGCATGCCTCCACAAGTCTCTGGAGCAGTGGAAATGAATTCCGTAGAGTGATTAATCAAGCTTCTCTATCTGGCAGTCTGATGGACTGATAGAATGCCAGGAGAACGTTACCTGTCTGACTGCATTGTGCCAACTGTAAAGTTTGGTGGAGGAGGGATGATGCTATGGGGTTGTTTTACAGGGGTTGGTCTAGGTTTCTTAGTTCCAGTGAAGGGAAATATTCATGCCTTAGCATGACAAGACATTTTAGACAATTGTATGCTTCCAACTTTTTTTCCAACAATGCAAGGTCCGTAAAGGCGTGGCTGGGTGAGTTTGGTGTGGAAGAGCTTGACTGGCCCTCACAGAGTGACCTCAAGCCCATCAAACACCTTTGGGATGAACTAGAATGAAGATTGCGAGCCAGGCCCTCTCGTCCAACATCAGTGTCTGATCTCACAAATGCTCTTCTGGATGAATAGGCAAAAATTCCCACAGGTACACTCAAATCTTGTAGAAAGCTTGTAAAGGTGGTACCAATTCCATATTAATGCCTATGGATTTTAAAGGTAGGTGTCCCAATACTTTTGTCCATATAGCGTATGTCTACATGCTCTGAAACGAGTCAAGAACGAAGCAGATTAAGGACCCGTGCTGTGGATGTGGCTGACATGCACAAGTAAGCTCTTGCTAACTGTGCCAATTAGGGACAATAAATACTTTTTTTTAATTTATTTTTGTTTAGTTATTAAATGTTTGTTGTGACTGTAGCCATTACTGCCTCATGCATTTGAAATGTAATACTGGGTGTGAGAACAATCCTAATGTTTGATGCGTTTTTCAGGCTTTATTTTGAAATTGGCTAATCGTTAATCGTTCCCCATATGGGAGAGCAGGATTCAATTCCAGCACAGAAAAGCACTCGTTAAGGTTTGTGCTAGTGTCTCTCTGGCACAACATGTATGAGGTAATTTGTTGCAGAAACATGCATCGCGATAGCGATAAAATTACGATTTATTGTCCAGCTCTAGCACCAATTCAGCAGTCCACCAATTTGGGGGATCCTTGTGAAGTAGTATGCATACTGCAGTTCTGGTGGTGGTGGATTCCGTTGTTTTTGTGTTGTAATCCTCTCTAAACACGACCACTAGACCCTCTGACCAAAACATAGGTTTTACACTGCCCCTGGTGGAGTACAGTCAGACATGTCATGGTAAAATAAAGTATGAGAATGTTAGAAAAGCTAATTTGCATATAACCGAACATTCTAATTTTCTCGACTGTGTGAAAATTCATCTTGAGTTAATACTAGTTTGCACAGAATCATTAATTAATATCCTGATAAAACGATAAAAGTTTAGCAACTTGACATCTAAGACATGTAGGTTTGGGTGCAAGTGTGAAATGGCTTTATTGGATCTAGACGGGGAGCTGCAGTAGGATCTGCATGAGGAACCAGTGCTGGAGAAACAGCAGCTTGGGAAGCCAGCACCAGATCAGGATGGGGAGCCAAAACTGGAGCCACACAGAGAACCAGCGCTGGAGGAGCAGCAGCAGCAGCTTAGGAAGGGGGCACTGGGTCAGGACAGGGAACCAGTACTGGAGGAGCAGCAGCTTAGGAAGCTGGCACTGGGTCAGGACACGGATCCAGCACTGGAGGAGCAGCAGCAGCTTGGGAAGCACTGGGCAGAGCCTTAAGGGCAGGAGTTGATCAACCAGTGCTCTCTGTAGCACTGGATGGAGCCTTGGAAAAAATTCCTTGCCACCTCCTCTCTGGGCCATTGGGCCAAAGGCAGACTGAAGAAGGCCCCAGAAGTTCTCCAGTGAGTGAGGTGCCTCACCATGTGAGGCCCACATCTGAACCACCTAGTCTGTGGCAGGCTCTCCCAGTGACAGGACTGCGGCCACTTTAGCTTCCTCAGACTGGAACGACTTATTAAAGTGGGCCAAAGAGCAGAGGCACTCACCCAAGAAGGCCCCCCGCAGCTCTGGCTCCCCGTAGTAAAAGCTGGGGGACGCTGGCAGCGTGTGGGGGTGTGTGAAGCCTCTTGCTGCAGCCTTGATTGGCAAAGTCTTCTGTACTGTCAGATGCATGTCCGTCTGTTGCAAGTGTGAAGTGGCTTTGTTTGGGGCAGTCCAACACTCGGAATCACGACAGGCAGTGGTCAAATCGCAAGCAGGCAACAAAAGAGGCGTATCCGTAGTCAAAATTCAGGAAGGCAATGCAGGGGTCAAAACAAAGCAAAATAATACATAGAAAACAGCTTAGTCCTCAGGTTTCCAACACAGAGACTTGGCAAAAACTAAACCAAACGAAGGGGTTTATAAAAGGAAGTACTGAATCCTGAAATCACGTGCAGGTATGAGTAGGCAGAGCCAGGGAGAGTGCAAATGTAGTTTCATCAGAGGGCCGAGACTACATGGCAAGCATTAACCAAAACAAAAAGGCAGAAGTGCTTAATATACAATGCATTATATAAACATTACAGTACAAATACACTCACACAATGCATGGTCATTTCATTAAATCCAAAATGTGAGGTTGTTCGAGATCAAAGTGCTTCCCGTTAAGTTTTCTGGTTGGAGCTGCTCTAGTAAAGTACAAAACCTTCACCTGCTAGGAGTGGAAACGAGCATGTCTAGGTCTGGACTTAATCATGAATTTGGAAAAATGTTACCAGCTTTTGTGAGAATTTAACTGAATACTTGAGTGTTTTATACTATACTGTGAAAAGAACAAAAAACCTTTTGACTTGAAACATCATAGACATAGAAGCCATTTGGAAGGTTATGAAACACCTATTCAAAGTAAAAGACAGTTTAAGTAACATTTCTGCTTGTTTTCTTTGTGTTTTGATAAATGTGTATAGTGAAAAACACACAGTATGAAAAGCATGAATAAAAATGCTTCTACAGTGATGATTATACAAGGAATCAATAATGACCTCAGGCCACAATGAGACACATACTGAGCTCACGATGGTGTTCACAGTGCTCACACTGCCCTGTTTGTGTAGTGTGAGGGGTGCATTTCTTTAGTCTGGGGGGGGGTGTTTCTGCAGTGTGAGGGGGTGTTTTTGTGGTGTGAGAGGATGTTTTTGAATTGTGAGGGGGGTGTTTCTATAGTGTAAGTTGTATTTCTGTGGTGTGAGTGGTGTGTAGTGTGTGTGAGGAGGGTGTCTAGTGTGAGGGTGTGTGTGTGTGTGTGGGGATTGTCTAAGTGTGTGGTGGCTGTGTCTGTAGTGTGAGGGGGTGTGTCTGTAGTGTATGGGGGCTGTGTCTGTAGTGTGAGGGGGGTGTGTCTGTAGTGTGTGGGGGTGATGTCTGTAGTGTGTGGGGGTGATGTCTGTAGTGTGAGGGGGCGTGTCTGTAGTGTGGGGGTGATGTCTGTAGTGTGTGGGGGTGATGTCTGTAGTGTGTGGGGGTGATGTCTGTAGTGTCTGGGGGTGTGTCTGTAGTGTCTGGGGGTGATGTCTGTAGTGTCTGGGGGTGATGTCTGTAGTTTGGGGGGCTGTGATTCTGTAGTGTGAGGGGGTGTGTCTGTAGTGTGTGGGGGGCTGTGTCTGTAGTGTAAGGGGGCTGTGTCTGTAGTGTGTGGGGGTGTGTGTCTGTAGTGTGTGGGTGTGTGTGTCTAGTCTGATGGGGGGTGTGATTCTGTAGTGTGAAGGGACGTGTCTGTAGTGTGTGGGGGTGTGTCTGTAGTCTGAGGGTGTGTGTGTCTAGTCTGTGGGGGGCTGTGTCTGTAGTGTGGTGGGCTGTGTCTGTAGTGTGGGGGGCTGTGTCTGTAGTGTGGGTGGGCTGTGTCTGTAGTGTGAGGGTGTGTGTCTGTAGTCTGATGGGGGGTGTGATTCTGTAGTGTGGGGGGCTGTGTCTGTAGTGTGGGGGGCTGTGTCTGTAGTGTGAGGTATGTGAGAGCAGATACACACGCTGTTCTGTTTCCTGTAAGCGTCCTGGCCATCTGCTGCCTGGTGGTCACCCGAGGCTCCAACGCGTTTAGACGGTCGAGCCGCTGATACTGAGACACTGATACTGAACGAGCTGATCAACACAGTGACTGCTTTAAACACGCTTCAGTTTAGGAGAAAATCAAGAAAATAATAGATTCATAAAAAGCAGTTTTTCTATTTATGCTTCTCTGCTTTCTTTCTTTTGTTCTTTCTTTCTTTCTTTCTTTCTTTCTTTCTTTCTTTTTTTACACACCTCTTGCTCTCCCATTTTTCTGTCTTTATCTGAGATGTACCGTCAACCTCTTTCTTTCTCTTTCTTCCTTCCTTCTCTCTATCTTTCTTTTGCTTCAACTTTTTTCTCTCTTTTTTGTTTCTACTATTTCTTATTTCTTTTTGTTTTCTATTTTTCTCTTTGTCCTTCTTTGTTTTTTTCTTTCTTTCTTTAGTTTTCTATCATTTCTCTGTCCTCTATATACATTTGATTCTTTTTATATATCCCTCTATTTATTCTTTTTTTTTGTATTCTTTGTCTTTTTTTCTCCATCTTCCTTTTTATCTTTCACTCTATCCTTCATTCTCTCTCTCTCTCTCTCTCTCTCTCTCTCTCTCTCTCTCTCTCTCTGCTCCTGAGGAGCTAACAGAAGTAGAGTTGTCACATTAGATCAGCAGAAACGCAGCAATATGTTCACTTCCTGTTTTTTTTTTTCCCTGTCTCTTGTCTTCTTCCCCGGGATTCGCAGGACAGCATATGTTCCATCAGCAGCACCCCACCTCAGAGCTGGACAGTAGTCCAGTGCTCCATGGCCCTGTCCCCATGGGGGCTGCTCGGCGTCCCAAATATTCAAGGGACCAGGGGAGGCCCGACTGCTCTCCACAGAGAAGCCTGGGTTTACCCAGTCCGACAAAAACACGCCCCACGTCCCTGTTTGTCCCAGGAGGAACATCCCTACTGCCAGCATCCAGCAGCACCACTCACTCTGCTCTGCAGGAGAAGGTAATGGTGCCTGTCTGTATCTGTGTGTGTCTGTCAGTATTACATCCAGGGAGTACTCCTCAGTATTGTTGTGACTCAATACAAGTAATTCATTACAAATTCCTTCCCTCAAACTGTTTTTTAGGCAACTTATTTTTTAGTAATCTCACTCATCACTTTACTTCCATGTTACTTTCTAAAACCTATACAAGTCTATAACAGCTAAGAAGTAGAGAGAAAAACCCAGGTGTCCTTAATTTATTTATTTTTTGTTTGTTTGAAGGAAGCCAGTCACTTTAACTTCACTAAAGTACTTCATTTTAGTCTCTATGCCAGTCTGACACGGTCAGTTATGCTTGATTTCAATTATGAATGGTTGATGCTGTTTGAAATCCTACAAACTAGTCATCCCTGTAAGAAAAGTCACATGAATAAACGTGTTATTTGCACACCTCACATGTCAAAAAACAAGTGTGATCATGTGATATTGTAAACGTGGTTTTTGCACAGTGTCGTATGAAATATATGTTTATGAATAAAATGTAAAGCTTATTGTTTAGCTGAGTGGTTGGGCTCGCTCGTCTTCACTGTGGGAATCTTTTCCTTCAGTTTTCTTATTAGCGTGATCAGGTGCTTCGACAGATTAATTGTGGAGTTTGCAGTGCATCCCACACTCATGCAAATTAAGTAAAAGGACAGGCATGAACGCTGGCTGCACTGTATTGTGCCACATTCAAACAGCAGTCAGGGCTGAAACACTCCTCATAACTTCAGTGTAAACGGTTGTGCTAAACTGCTGGATGCTGAAAAGGTAGAGATATATGTGTAATATATAAGTGTTCCAAAGCTTAGTTTCCTTATATGGACTGCAGAGTAAACGTTACCTAATGAAATTTAAACAGTGCTTACGTGCTACACCAGACTCAAATTTCAAAAAAAGTTTTCCAAGTTATGGGCCTTTTAATCTCTTTCTGTCAACCCCCTCGTTTCAAATTAAAATGGATATTTTTGAATATAATTATATATTAACAGTAATTAAAATATTTTTCCCCATAACTCTGTTATCAGTTAAACTAGGACACGGTTGTCTCTGTGTATACGAGTTGTTTTGACCATTAACCAGACAGAAAGCACATTTTCAGAACACATTTCTAGAAAGGAAACTTGCTGCTTGTTTGTGGTTTGTATATGGAGCGTTCTACAGAATTAGTTGCTGTAGTCCCACAGTAGAAAAAATAATTTACACGTTAAATATTTACAATGATTGTTATGATCTGTTTAAACTCACAGTATTTATTAAGATATTAGTAAGTTAAATATATACAAAATCATCATTTATACTTTCTGCTGGGTGCTGTCTGTCTGGCCGTGTTATGATTGCTTTGTTATTGACAGAATGGAATGAACCATTTTCATAATTCATAAACATAATTAAGGTATAGGGTCATTCAAAGCAAAAGGATTTTAGTCTTAAGTCCAAGTTGGTTAAAAGTCCGAAATGTGTTTTGAACTTGGTGGAATGAGCCATATATCTTTAGGAACAGTCTGAAGCATCCAGCAAATGACCTACATTGCGGTTAATTTTTTGTGATCTATCAATGTTGCTAAAAATTAAAAATCAATATTGTTGTGATGACACCAATACTGGTGAAAACTGCACGTCACCCGGCTGTAACTGCTCAGCCTTCACCGGAGCTCCTATAACAGATCATTTGTGTGGACACATGTCTATGACTGTCAGTACTACATCAGAGTACTGACCTCACTGATGGGTTAGCTTGTGAAATGAGATGAGAGACGAGAAATGGCCTAAACCTGCATACACACTCCTTTATGCAAAAGTTGGACCACTATTTTATTAAGTGTTTGATTTGCACATTAAATTTTATGTATTTCAGTGTGCATGTTTAACCATTTCCAAACCTCTTCTCAAGAAAGTTCAGATTTATTTGGAGTTATTATCTTTCTTTTTGCTGAAACGGGAGCGCTTTTATTTAACAAACACATCCAGGAGAAATCTGGAACCAAACTTTGTTCTAACCAGCTTACAGGACGTCAACTTCTGTGAAATACTAGAAATCCTGCATTACTGCATAATTGTTTGTTTACATTTATTCCAGTGATTGCTTAGGTGCCTAAAACGTCCGGTAATGTCAGACGTTTTCTTCACAACACTTACTGTTGTTGCTGTCGGGACAAAACCGTATCTCCATTTTTTTTCTTTTCTTTTTGACATAAATCGAAAAGGCCACTTGCCCTTGATGAATTTCATGCTGAACAGAAATGGTCCAAAAATACCTTTTTTCTTTCCTCCAAAATACCTTTTTGGAGATTTAAGGTTTTGTTCTGGCAGCAGTGATACGTGTGTTGCCGTTTATGAACAGATTGCATGACTGATCAAGGTTAGTCTGTGTTTAGTGGTTCACACAAGCAATTGGACTACGCTATAGGCTGCAGTGCCCTCTAGTGGTTGAGATTCTGGGGTCAAAGGCATTTGTAGGTTCAGGCAGTGCCTGGGAATAGGATTTCTGAAAACGTCATTGTATTTCATTTAAAATAATTAGACATTTTCACTATTAGTCTTGAATCAAAGGTGAAGTTCCCTTTTTATTGCTTTTATGCTTTGATTACTTATTTTGTTTTTGTGTGTATGCCTCCAATACATCTTTATTGTTAAATACAGGAAAACAACAAGCATGACAACATAAAGACTTATTATACCTTGGGTATGTTTATATCACTTGCACCAGTTGGTCATATGCCACCATAACTGTGTTGTTATAAACATATCCTGTACATTATTTTACACACTCATATTGCATTGGTATTTGTATTGTTTTGTCAGTTAATCTGTGCATCTTTTCTACTGAAACAAATTTTATTTGGCCACTGAAGTTGTTCTGATTCTAGTATTTCTTTTCTAAGGTGCCGTCCGTCCCTCGGCAGTCTGGGAACCAGCGTTTCCCTCCAAATCAAAACCTGCTGCTGTCTCTACCAGAACCTCTGCCTGTTCTCCACCCAAAACCACAGAATAGCCAGTCGTGTGCAAGCTCAGTACAAGCCACGCCTCCTGCCTGCCTACATTCTCTGAGCAGTGAATCACAAAGCAGCCCTCACAGCCGAGTCGCCCCGCTATGCTGTGCTGTCATCAGACCCAGAATGGTCAGGAATTTCATTTGACCATGAAAACTTTTTTTCTGTGTTTTGTTGTGGCGATGTGTCTTCACTCTGTTTAGTATTTAGTAATTTAATGAAACAGGGATGTTGGAACATTGCTGTAAGTATTTGATTGCATTCAACTCCAACTCCCACTGCTCCACAGCCCAATTCCAGTGTGGCCCAAGATCAGTTACAGATCCGTTTAGTGGCCATGAAATTTCATGAATTCATGTGTTTTTTTTATTTTTTTATTATTTTTTTATAATAATGTTGTTATTATTATTCAGTGGTACCACGGCAGCAGCGCCAAATCGGAAGTTAGTGGCGGTAAACGGTGCAAAAGCATCTCACCCTTTTTTACCTTCATCTCACTCTCATAATGGTCGACTGAGAGCTGTTCTGCTGGTTATTTTGTTGTTGTTAAGGCCATGACGCTGGTTAGGATCTGCACATTTAGGGAGTTTATGGACTTTAGTTCATTCACATTACTGACAGGTTTGAGTCCCACACCTACACAAATGTGAACCATCATGTTAGAAAGATTGGATTTGAGCAATAAATAGATAAAAACTGAGCAGTAAGGCTTGTAAATTGAACATTGAACAGCCTGCGAAGATTGTACAGCTGCACAGATAAACAACTCTGTCAGCAGTGGCTGCACCCTGACACTGAACAGCAGCTGAATTCATTCATTTGAAGGGGACTTGATTCAGTGCATGTACACTAATTTGTGTGTGTGTGTGTGTATATATATATATATATATATATATATATATATATATATATATATATAAAATAAAATAATAGCTCTCAATGTCTGTGTGTTAAAAAAATAAAATGTAAAATTTTTTCTTTTCTTTCTGCTCTGTCTCTTTCTAGCAGGTCCAGATTTCTCTTAACTGCAGCCGAGCCCTGAAGAATCCTCCAGTTTTGGCCCATAACAGCTCCTTCATTAACGCAGCCCGTCCCACGCCTACTCCTGCCGCGCAGGTCCGGCCTGTTGCCAGGGCCGTTGCCACGGGGATGCCCGGCGCCGCTAGGCAGCAGGCGAGTGCCAGGGCTGGAGCGTGTGCCAGGACTATGCCAGAGCGAGTGCTGGCGGGGAAGAGTCGAGGTCAAGAGGTCAAGGAGGAGCCCCAATCTCCTCTGAGTTTACTCTCCAAGAAAGAGAGCGAGAGAGCAGAGAGGGAGGAGGTGAGTTAGAGAGAAAGAGAGCGGAGGAAGAGGAGAGGGAGGAGGTGAGTTAGAGAGAGAGAGAGAGAGAGCAGGAGAGAGAAGTCTTCCACTTGAGACTTGAGTACCCTATAATTTGCTTTAAATGGTGCAGAGGGACCAGTGGTTTAAAAGTGAGAACTTGACACCTGGCAGATACCTGAATATCTCTCTCACTCGCTCTCTCTCACTCTCACGCTCACTCTCTCCCTCCCTTCCTTGGTCTGTCTCTCTCACTCTCAGTCTTTCTCGCTCTCTGCTCTCTGTGGATTGCTGCCTTTTTTTCCTTTAGCTCAGTCTGCCACTCTCTTGCTCTAAAGCAGACTCTCTTTTGTTTCTTTCTCTTTTCATCTCTCCCTTTTGCTCTCTCTTCCTCCTTCCTCTTCCTCCTCCCTCACCTTCTGTCTCTCTCTGAACTGATAGCATTAATAGAGCCTTTTACTCCTCTTTCGCGCTCTCTCTCTCTCTCTCTCACACTCTCTCACACAAACATACACACACTTTATTTCTCTCTCTCTCTCTCTCTCTCTCTCTCTCACTCTCTCACACATACATACACACACTTTATCTCTCTCTCTCTCTCTCTCTCTCTCTCACTCTCTCACACAAACATACACACACTTTATTTCTCTCTCTCTCTCTCTCTCTCTCACTCTGTCACATACATACACACTTTATTTCTCTCTCTCTCTCTCTCACTCTCTCACACAAACATACACACACTTTATTTCTCTCTCTCTCTCTCTCACTCTCTCACACATACATACACACACTTTATTTCTCTCTCTCTCTCTCTCTCTCTCTCTCTCTCTCACTCTCCACACATACATACACACACTTTATTTCTCTCTCTCTCTCTCTCTCTCTCTCTCTCTCTCTCTCTCTCTCTCTCTCTCTCTCTCTCTCTCTTTCTCTCTTTCTCTCTCAGCTCAAGGTCAGGGCAACTCACTGAAAGCTGTTCATTACACCCAATTATTAGCCTGGACAATGCAGCCCCTGCTGGATCAATAGCTGCTGTCAAAGCTCTTTCAGATGCTCGAGCTGCAAATCAATCAAGCACTATCTGCACTTTCTCCTTTAGTTATGCCCAAATATCAGTGCCAGCCTTTCTCTGAAGTACCAGCAGATCTCAGCATGGATGGTTTTCTCCTAATGAAGATTCATTTATTTAAGCAGTTTTGCCGTCAGTAAGACCTACAGTATGTCAGTGTTTCCCAACACAGGTCCTGGAGTCCCCTCTGCCTCTGCCTTTTATCTGCCTTCACAAAGATAATCCAACAAATCAGCTCTTTAAAAATTTTTACTCATTTTTTGTGTCACAAATTGTCCAGTAACGTGATATTTATTTCATAATGTCCACCTCAGTTGGGAACCATTTCAAATAAACTGAGAACATCTCAATGCGCTGCTTTAAATGGACTCATCTGCGCTTTATCCAGGAATGCATAGATAAGCCATAAGCTAGACCTACGTTACATGATTTTTAGCCTGATTTGTACTTGCCATCAAATTTTCACAATCTGAAGCGATTTTCCAGGTTGGAAGTGATTGATGGCGGGATAGTCTGACTGTGTGAGAGTGGAAACAAGTCAGCGTTAGCCTTCCGGTCAAGCTTGAAAAAATGGGAGGCCCTCCAGTATTTTTAGATGTTTGATTTTTACAGCTCAAACATTCATGAATCCTGTAGTGAGATGGTCAGTGATGTAACAGAACGAGTGATTCAAGTAACAGCCAACGAGAGAGCTAGGAGAGAGAAAAGAGGTGAAGATGCGTGCATGCACTCCGCCAAATGGGACAGCGGAACACGGAGACAGAGGAGCTGCTTGTTGAGTTCGTGCAAATAATCGTTTTCTTTACAGTTTCAAGTCAGCAGCCGGATCGTAGTAAACGTTTTCTCCAGCTCTGACTGTTATATCTGCATTTCAACCACATATTCATGCATGTTTGCTACTCTTCTTATGCGTGCATAAAAGCACAAGCAGGTTCAGTCCAGGTTAGCTTTCTTTGTATCATGATATCTGGGGATATCTGAGATTTTGGGTGCTTTTTTGTAGTCGAAACTCGTTCTGTGTGTTGTGCCCTCTTTTTTTGGGTCCTCTTTCTCCGGACTGAGGCCACCTTTCACCTTTCACTCGGTTTCACAATGATGGAAAAACCCGGTTTAAAGTCCTGGAAAAAAACGCCACTGGAAATGGGCATAACAAGGTATCTCATGTCACAGCGTCCTTCTCAAGGAACTTGCAAGCCTCACAGAGACACAAGCCTAAAGAACTTATCTTAAAATTTCTTTAGGAAAAATATTCAAGATTTAAGAGATGCAAATTTGACTACAGGAGATAATCTCTATCCCTTCAGGACACTCTAACGATAAACAACGTTCTTTCCTGCCTTTTTCTTTCAAAAGAAAACTGGCTAATTAAATGAAGCTAAAAAATTGCCCATCAGCCAGCTTGGATCAATAATAATCCATGACCTTTATAAAGTATTGCAATTGTAATGTGCAGTGTGTTTCTCTCTGCCAGCGTCGGGCTGATGAGGATGAGAAAGACTCTCTCCGCCAGAGCGAGGCCGGTGAGGACGATGATGGTGATGGTGTTTCTGCCTGGTACAGGCTGCAGTTGGAGAAGCAGAAGCAACTCAGGGAAAAGCTTATGAGTCACAAGGAGAAGAGGAGGCACCTCCAAGCCCAGTACCAGAGGAGACAAAAGCAGGGCAAGCTCCATGAAGTTCACCTTATGGGAAAAATCCTTGATGGAGCACCCCAGCGGTGTCCTCAGCCATCACAGGTCAGCAAACGGGCTCAGAGCACCCGGAAACCCACACAGAAAACCAGGCCCTCAACCTCAAATCTACCCCAGCGTGACTCAGAGAGTCGCCCAAACCTCCAGCTGTGCCAGCAACAGCAGCATGGGTCTGCATTACTGCCACCACTCAAACCTCCATCTAAACCTGCCTACCCTCAGACACATTTAGCACAGTGCTCTGCTGCTGCTGCCCCAGTGAGGCGGGCTGTGCTGTGGCATAGGCAGAGTTTTCATGGACAGAGGTTTTTGGGGCATGACGATGCATCTGGAGGGTCTTCAGGAGAGCTGGGAGAATGGCATGGGAGGACGAGGAAGATGAAGAGGTTGGCGAAGGAGCTGCCGTCCAAATTGAAAGTCGTTAAGCACGTCAGAATGGAGGTAACCAGCCCTGTCTCTCTCTCTGTCTCTCTATCTCTCGCTCTCTCGCTCGCTCTCTCTCTTTGAATTCAGATTCAAATGGATTTACAGCCATTAATTGTAATGAACAACTGTTCCCAATTTGGTGAATGGAATACCCCTAACTGGGGAATCTCACTGAAATTTCTGCATAATTCTGTTGTTAAGAGATAAACAGAGTTATTCAGAGAGGTTTGACATGAAGGGCTCAGAGAATCTTACCGACTCAGAATTGTCATTACGAGAAATGGTTATTCATGTACTGCCGGATGCCTGAGACATTGATTTTTAACATAAATATAACATATGGTTTTGACCTGAAACGTATTTTTCAAAAATTATGCTGGGTAGATGCATGCAGTAGGTTGAATGTCAAAATATTACCCAAAAAAACTTGTTTCAGGCTTCCCACGGAGCTGCCACGTTCCGTAGTAGTAGTGGTAGTAATTTTGTAGTAATTTGTGTTTGGGCGCATTGAACAGGAATTTTTATGACTTTGGGGGGCTAAGCCTTTTCTTTTTACCCGAAGCTCACACTGTGTGAGCTGAATGAACACATGAAACACACGTTCACAGGGGTGTCCAGTCTTACCTGCAAAGGGCTGGTGTGGCTGCAGGTTTTCAATCCAACAAAGCAGGAGCATAAATAGTCTGTTGTCAGTCAACTAGTTGCATGAAAGTTTCACTGTGCAAGGCCAGCCTAACAGATTAGACAAGTGGAATCAGGTGTGTTCCCACTAGTTTGGCATGAAAGCCTGCAGCCACACCAGCCCTCGCAGATAAGATCGAACACTCCTACACGACCACATTTCCAGTACTGTTTATTAGCCAAAGTCGCAATTTAAAAAACATTGATTGCTCTTTAATGGGTCAAACTGGCAACAGCATTCAAATACAGCACAAGTGCACCTAACCTGGCTTGCATTGTTTAAGTCTTAAAATAACTTGAATCGGCCAAAATTTAAATAATGAAATGGCCAGTTGACGATTGTAAGATCTTTGCCCATTCTGATCATGCTTCCTTAGTTTGTGTTTGTTGTGACTTGACAGAAACAGATATTCGTTTAGGTTTTATTTGTATTTATTTAATTTTGTTTAAGTATTCATTTTATAGGCAACTTAGTCATGTAAAAATTCTGTTACCATTGTCGGTTTTGTTTACCGTAGCATTTATATTATAGCATTATTATTTAAGTATAAATCTTTTTCATTTCTTCACTCCAAATAATATTAGTGGGGGTTTGAATGTCACTTGGGGCCCTGATATGCTCAGAAACTGCCCTGCAGCTCAGCCGTGATCACTTCAAAGTAGAGGGTGACCCCTAGAGTCCACCAGTCCACCACCACCTCTCTTTATTCTCCAAAACATAGACCATAGAACATGCTGAAGTTTGAATGTGGCAGTGTTGCGATTGTTTTGTTCTGTAATGGAATCTTATGAAAACTAGTTAGCGTTGCGCCAACAGTCATGTTTTTGCCTCAAACCATATAGTTTTAAAAAGTCATTTCAAATGTGTGATGATTTAGGTGTGAAGTTTTTTGTCACATTAGCCTTGTAGCAAAACTAAAGACACCGAACATGACTTGGCTGATTGACTTCATTTGCTTTAAGGAGTAAACTGCGTAAATTAGATTTTTGGCTGAACTATTGCTTTAAGCTCTTTCCGCCTCTGTTTTCTCGCCCTCTTCTGGGACAGGGCTTTGTGTAGCGATGAAGATAACACAGTGTCAGTCTTAATAGAGGTGGAGGGGTGTTTTTTTATTTTTTTATACAGAGAAAGCTCCACAGACAGCAGGATCGATGTGTCTGCCTCTGCGAGTCTGTGAAAGCAGGATCAGAGCAGTGCTGCCCCGGGACGTTGTTTCTCCATCATTCTGCGCCGCTCTAACAATGTTATCTCTCTCTCTTTCTTTCCTCTATCGCGGATCTTTCAGGTGTTCTGTAATGGACGTCAACCCCCAAAGACATGCAATTAATCTTTAAAGTGTGTGTATGTGTGTACGTGTCTGTAGGAGCATGTGTGTGTGTGTGTGTGTCAGTGTGTCAGTAATACCTGCGAATAAAGAGTTGCCAGTTAGGCGGATTTGGCTTGAAGAGCTTAGCTGCAGATAAGGAAAATTAATTATTTTTGCGTCAGGAATGATGGCGCTCTCACTAATGGAGGACACAAAGCAGTGAGTGAAGGTGGATGGGGAATTAGTGGAGTGTTGTCACTCCAGGATAAAGCTCCACGGCCTGTGACTGCTGTAATGTATAGGGCTGTGACGATGTAACTCTCAGTACCGATTCCGATACCTCGACTCTGGTACCAATTCGATATTTGCTTCCTTTTTGATTTAAAATCTGTATACCACACATAACATGCTATTACAATTGATGAGTTAAAAGTTGAAGCATAAAATATTAAATATGCCATCACTGTGGCACAGGCCACATTTTATATATATATATATATATATATATATTTATATATATTTTTTTTTTTACTCAAATATGTTAAATTCAGCAAGTGAAAAGGATGTGTTAACTTATTGTCTATTGGAAAATGAACAAAACATGTCATTTGGCCAGTGGTGCCCAAACCCTTGCATATGATTGTATACATACATCATCTAAACCGCTTATCCTACTGGGTCGCGGTGGGGTGCTGGAGCCTATCCCAGCTGTCATTGGGCGGAAGGCAGGATACACCCTGGACAGGTCGCCAGTCCATCGCAGGGCAGACAGACAGACATACACAGTCACACCTAGGGGCAATTTTAGCATGTCCAATCAGCCTGACTGCATGTCTTTGGACTGTGGGAGGAAACCGGAGTACCCGGAGGAAACCCACGCAGACACGGGGAGAACATGCAAACTCCACACAGAAATGACCCCGGTCGCCCGGCCAGGAATCGAACCCAGGCCATTCTTGCTGTGAGGCGACAGCGCTACCCACTGCGCCACCGTGCTGCCCTATATGATTGTATATTTATGTATATTTATTAATTTCTTTACTTTAATTTTAAAGTAAAGAAATTAATCATTTAAATTAATAAGTTAATAATTTAATAATTAAATTAATAAGTTAATTTTAAACAAAGCTCACTGAACATATATCTAGTATTCAACCTGTATATCTCTAGACAAAGTCTAGCTGATCACTGTAGACATATTAACTATAAATCTGGCAGTTTTTCTTTTTTAGCCTACATTAAATTGCGAAAAATTTGAAAGTGTAAAGTTTTTGCTGGTGTGACACACAGCAGGATTGGAAAAGCTCTCCTGCACGGGCTTTTTTTCCTGTGCATTGTTGAACACTTTAAGAGGGACTTTAATTTAGCTTTGTAGAGATACACATGGTGCATTTCACATTTGCAAAGAAACATTTTCATCTCCATAAACAAACAGGTTTGCCTCTGATGTGATTATTCATGATAATTAGTGGTATATAGAACATTCGGTGTCTAAGAAGCAGTACCGATAGTGGATCAGTCCCGTCTGGCCGACACTAGATCTGTTTAAAAAGGTCACTATCGGTACCGTTACTAGTATGAAGAGCAGTTGGATCATTACCTTCCACAGCCTGAGATGAAGCTAGATAACAGACACTATTTGCACAAAAGTATTGGGACACCTGCACGTGGCTCACCCAGCCATGCCTTTATGGAGCTGCTTTGTGCACTGGGACTGGGTCATGCTGGAACTGAAAAGGGCCTTCCACAAACTGATCCCACGAAGTTGGAAGCGAACAATTGTCCAAGATATCTTGGTCTGCTGAAGCATTAAGATTTTCCCTTCAGTGGAGCTTACCTTTATGTGGTCTGACACTTCGTGGTTGCGTTGCTGTGGTTTTTAAACGCTTCCACTTTTCAGTAATACCACTCACAGTTGATCGTGGAACATCTAGGAGGAAGGAATTTCGCGAACTGACTTGATGCAACGCTGGCATCTTATTACAGCACCACACTCTAATTCAGTGAGCTCTTTAGACCCATTCTTTCACAAATGTGTGTAAAGGCAGTCTGCATGGCTAGGTGCTTGATTTTGTACACCTGTGGCAATGGGACTGAACGAAACACCTGAATTCAATGATTAAGAGGTGTGTCCCAATACTTTTGTCCATATAGTGTATAGTCTATATTGCCTGTATTGTAGGGCCCAATATTCAGTTATTCGTTTGTAACATTAGTATTCGATTCTGTGTTTAGTAGGATGTACCGATATGGAAATTGTGTATCTCATATTTTTCATATGCGTATCTTCCGATGCCGATACATAAACATTTATAAAATGTAGAAATTGGGACATGATGATGATGATAATAGTAAGTTTCTTTTATACAAGGCCTTTCTGAAACCTGGGTTCACTTTGTAGTTTTAACAATAGACTTACAATAACACACATTAACTGTAGATAAAACATAAACGCGCTCTCAGGTGGTTACACAGACTGTAGTGAGGGCAGCAGCTCAGAGAAAGTTCATCAGTCTGAAGAAGATTTCTGCTGCTATGGAGTTACCTTGTTGGTGGCTGAGAGAAAAGTTTCTCAGTACGAATAAGATTTTCACTTGCTGCTACGGAGTTAGCTCGCCGCTGGCCGAGATAAAGATCCTCAATCTGACGGAGATTTTTACTTGCTGCTACCCACTGTTGGCTCACTGTGACAAAGTTCTTTATCTGAGGGAGATTTTTCAAAATTCTGTCTGAAACTGGCCCAACCTGAACTACACCATCCAGATTTGAGTCTGAAACTGACCCAAGTCCAGCAAAATTCTGTCCAAATCTGACCCAAACAGCCCAAATCACAGTACCAAAATTAAACATATTTGTCTGGTTAATCTGCAGTGTACCAACAATAATAGCAGTCATCATAAAGCAAATCAAATAAAAAAATATATGAAATATGGTCATCAAATAAGTTGTCCAAAATTAAGTATAAAAACTGCCCTAACAAATCTACTCATCCATCAATGCTTTTGAACAGAAGTTCTTCATAATTCATAAATGCAAACAGCTGCAAGTTAACAACGTAGTGTCAGCCTTTTAAAAAACCTACACACTGCAGGATTTTCTTCAGTTTAAAACACAAAAATACCCAGATATAAGATACAAGGCACAAATGTGTTCACAGTTATATTGAACCACTGAAATCGTGATCTAAAAATCTTGACATTTGTGTGGATTTATGTACAAAAACAGCTGCATTTCATTTTTACATGCTCAACAAACTTTTCCCCTATAAAAAATGGCTGTACTATTACTGTACACATCCTGCCTTCCGCCCAATGACAGCTGGGATAGGCTCCAGCACCCCACCGTGACCCAGAAGGATAAGCGGTTTAGATGATGTATATGTATGTATTACTGTACACTCTTAAAAAATGTGGTTCTTCAAGAGTTCTTTAGTACAGAAAATGGTCCTGTATAGAACCATGAACACTCAAAGAACCCTTTGCACAATAAAAGGGTTCTTTGCATCATGAAAGCGTTCTTCAGATTGATGGAGAACGTGCTTCTGTATGTCAAGCTTGTCACAATAGAAGAACCCTTTTTGGTGCTATATAGAACCCTTTTCAAGAAGGTGCTATGTAAAACAGTTTTATTTTCTAAAGAACCCTTTTCTGTTCATTTATATGTCATATATAGATGTCAGTGTACATCTGATACTTCATAACAAAATATATGATGTGTTAGAGGCCCGTTTAACTGCCCTAACAAATCTACTCATCCATCAATGCTTTTGAACAGAAGTTCTTCAGACTGAATAAACGTTCCATAACATGCTGTTCTCACACTGTGCTGTGCTGTTATAGCAGGTTTTTAGCCCTCACTTGTTTAATCCCGACACTGTTTCTTCACTTACAACGGTCTGCCAAATCAAATCCAGGCTGAGCCGCAGTGTTTTGTGGGTGATGTGATGAATTGAGATATTCATATAATCCAACAACAGTAAGTGATTTTGGGTTAAAATGATGCAGGCCAGTCTTTAACCATGTCACATTATTGATTCACCAGTTGCTTTTTAATAAGACATATTGCTGTATGTAACAGCGTAACCACAACACTCGTATTATGCACCTATTATGCAACCATAACATTACTTTTTATTTTCATTAATACTTACATGAGCTTCACTCTGTATTTACAGGAGGAAGAGGATGGTGTGAGTTTGAGGTTCCCAGCCCAGGTGAGCGAAGGCTCCAGAGTGGTCACTTTCACTCGGACCACCTTCTGCGGACCCCACGCGCTCAGACAGGTGTGTCCAAACCTGTGGAGAGGGACTGCCTCCAAAAAGCGCCACGACAAGGTGCGTCTTTTTGGGATTACTTAACAAGTCAGCACAATTTGAGGCAAGCGTGTTGGGTATGTGGTTGACACAGTACCTAATGACTGTACAGTTGTGTGCAAAAGTTTGCGCGCCCCAGTCAAATGATGTTTCGTCATTTCTAAGTGGAAATAAGTTAACACATCTACAGAGCACACGCTTTGGTTGATCCGCTACATTTGCGCTAAGGGAAAAATTGTGTATTTGTCGTTATTACGGCTAAACTGTCGCTTTAAAGCAGGCTCGTATGTACTGCAGCATTCTGTCTGTATTGAAACATCAGCAGACGGCAGAAGGGCAAACTAAATTGGTGGAGTCTGCGTGGGCCCGCCGCTCGCCGCGGGTCGCTGTTCAGGGGCACGCCGGAGCCGGACCGGGCCAGATGGGCAGTGCCCGAGCCGTGCCAACGCAGACAGACGAGCAGGCGAGCGGGTGGTGTGTGTGCATGTGTGCCAGGTTGCTGTCCCTGTGTCAGTTGAAGGGCTTTTCTTTGTCAGCCGCTGGGGTCCGTCTGAAAAAGCTGCTGATGTTCGCTCAGGTAGAAGTCTTACTCTCCTGCCCCATCACTGCTCACTCTAGCAACAGCCTTTGTGTTGCGGCCCAGTAGGGTGTAGTGATGGACAACATTAACAATTTTATTTATAGTTTTTATGCCATAATATTGTACACTTTCAGTACAAAGGTAAAAAAAAAAAATATTTTGGATTTTTTTTAGATATGAAGTAGCTCATGAGATTAACTCGCTCATATTTAGAAGGCTGAAGATTATCCACAAGGGGGAGCTATTAGCGCTCCAGTATTTTTTCTTTATAAGAGAGGTCCTTCACGTCAAAGGCACTGTCAGTTTGCCAGAATGATACTGCATCGCTTGGTGGAAACATAATTATCTCCAGCAAATATTTTTAAATATATATGCACACAAAGAACATTATTTCAGCATGCAAGTGTAAATAAACAAACAAATGCAAATAAATGTAGTGTCTCTACATTTCCACAGTATTTGGGGTAAAGAAAAGCTTTGACCAGTATAATGGCTAACACTGAACCCTGCTAAATAGCATAATGTCATGGTGGATGTCTTATGCTGTCATATCTTTAGAATCACTGAGGTATTTTTAGTATTTGCAACCAAGGTGACGTCCCATTCACAAAAAATGAGTGCAACACATTCTCATGGCTCTGCACTCTGATTTAAAAGTAAAGCCAGATTATGTATCATTATTATTATAAACATGCTCATAATTCCCAGATCACCCCTAAATCGTTGAACAAACAGTTAAATTCTTCATAATTCATAAATGCAAACAGCTGCAAATTAACAACGTGGTGTCAGCCTTTTAAAAAACCTACACACTGCAGGGTTTTCTTCAGTTTACAACGCAAAAATACCCAGATATAAGATACAAGGCACAAATGTGTTCACAGTTATATTGAATCACTGAAATCGTGATCTAAAAATCTTGACATTTGTGTGGATTTATGTACAAAAACAGCTGCATTTCATTTTTACATGCTCAACATCCTTTTCCCCTATAAAAAATTGGCTGTACTATTACTGTACACATCCTGCCTTCCGCCCAATGACAGCTGGGATAGGCTCCAGCACCCCACCTCGACCCAGAAGGATAAGCGGTTTAGATGATGTATATGTATGTATTACTGTACACTCTTAAAAAATGTGGTTCTTCAAGAGTTCTTTAGTACAGAAAATGGTCCTGTATAGAACCATGAACACTCAAAGAACCCTTTGCACAATAAAAGGGTTCTTTGCATCATGAAAGCGTTCTTCAGATTGATGGAGAACGTGCTTCTGTATGTCAAGCTTGTCACAATAGAAGAACCCTTTTTGGTGCTATATAGAACCCTTTTCAAGAAGGTGCTATGTAAAACAGTTTTATTTTCTAAAGAACCCTTGAAGAACCATCGTTTTTGAAGTGTGTACCTTTTCTGTTCATTTATATGTCATATATAGATGTCAGTGTACATCTGGTACTTCATAACAAAATATATGTTATGTTAGAGGCCCGTTTAAAAAAAAATAATAATAAAAAACAAAAGGAAGAGAAATCCTCCAGGTCAGCGTACCCTCTCCTCCCCGAACCCCTGCCACTTTTTGCCCACCTCCTACCTGTCCCGAATGCTGTTTTTAGAGATCACATGCTGCTGCCTGGTTTAATGTAGCTGCCTGCTCCCCCTGTCTGGGTGCTTGATGTGTGTTTCTGAAGGTTGTCATGGTTGAGTTATGATGGGCTGTCATGTCTAGCAGCGCTGCAGCGATTCCTCCTGCTAACGTTTCTGTACAGACAGCCAGGCTTCATGGCATGCCCTCCAGCCATGCCTGCATGGCAGCTGTCTGGGCTTCTGTGCTTTCGCCGGTGATGTCTTGTTTTTTTCTCTGTCACGCAAGTGGGTTCGGGGTTAGCTGGCCACCATGTTTGTCTTACTTGCTTATATTTATTGCTGAACTGCTGATCTGATGAATTACTCCCTTTATAAAATCATTTTACATTTATTAGCTGAGTGATTGTGTTGCTGTGTTGCATCTGCAGAAGCCCACTTATGAGCCAGCTTGACTTGTGTTTTTTATGATGGTCCACTAGAGGGCAGTGTTGGTCATTTGTCAGTGGTGATGAAGACACGTTTTTGCCAGACAGCAATTCAGTCAGCATGTTTAGCACAACCCATTATTACTCAGTATTAATTATAATTTTTCTTAGAATTTAATTTTTTTCTTGGCAGAATAAAAAAGACCAATATAAAGACCATAGACTATAGAAGTATCACTGCAGCTCACGCTGTTCTGTATTTTTCTATTGGCATATTGTTCATAGCAAGCAGAAAAATAATATAGACTCAAAGTGTAAAAGCTGCACACTCACATTTTGCGTGCGCATGTTGTGACAAAAGATTGCTGATTTATATAAGATCAAAACACTGACGTTGCAGATATTACAAGCCGTCATTTTCCGCTTTATAAAGCTTCCACATTGCCTATAGCTAATCTATCGCATATCAGATCCCTAATATTTACTAGAGCACAATTTTATTGTAGAGCTGCACAATTGCTTATATTGTTGCATATTGTAATTGCTGCACACGTTGCATTATGTGTAAAACATTTATTGGTGTCCAAAAGTCTGAGACCACTCGTGGAAATGCTTGTATTTGGCATTCTTTTGTAATTTAATACAAATTTATTTCTTTACAAATTATCATTATCAGCATAAAATATGAGCCAGAAGTAAAACCTGTAAAATATTTACATGAATTTCAGAATTTGTTCTGCTTTTATTCCTGTGATGGTGTGACCTCGTGGACAAGTTTATACCAAAGCCTCTGATGAGTAGATCAAATCCTCCTGAGAGTCGTCTGAACAGAACTTCACTGGTAGAGATGAGTCAAAGAAAACAGGACCTTTTTATTAAAGGCCTTTATTACGATTGGTCACAGCTCACAATACAAGAATGAATAAACATTGGTTGATTTAGAGGGCTCATTTGCATATTTCAGCCTTGCACCAATATCACAATAACAATCATCAAACGATGTATTGTGCCCGAGAATTCACCTTCAGTATTGCTTCGGTGAGTTTTAAGAGAGAGTATGATAAAAGTCCAGGATCTAGAAACATTCCTGGAAGTGTTTCCCGTTTATGGGTTAGTTGTTACGGCCTGTAGTTGCCACGGTAGCATACAGTAACCGAGCAGCCCATCAGACAGATTGTTAAAGCAATGGGCCATTACACGCAACATTGCGTCTCAGTGGTCTCTAATGAGCGTGCAGATTTACGATGCTGTGACAGTTCCACAAACTCTGCACACACTGACAAACTGCAGCTCCAGCAGCACCACTTAACCGCACTGAGAACACAAACAGGACCCTCCACGTCTGCTCTCCCAGGGTTTTTTCCACAATGAAAGCCACACATGTTCCAACTTTGACTTGAAGTGATGACTGGTCTCCACTGCAGGTGAACTGTCAGTGATGATCGAGGTGCATGATCCAAATTGCCCAATATTTGCTTGTATTTGGTCTTTTTTATTTTGGTCGATCTGCGTTATGATTTTTTTTTATTATTATTTTATGTGTCTACCCGCCAGCCTATGTTTCAGCCAGCATGTTTTGCCAGAAAGTGTTAGCTTTGGTAAAAAAGGAAATAAACAGTATTTTTTTGAGGGCAAAACAAAATTTAACTAATAAACTTGAAACCAAAACAGTCAAATTTTGCTGTAAATATCAGAATTAACCATAACATTTCACGATCTGTGCCCTACCATTAAACAACTCACACTGTGGTGCACATTGTGAGTGATATGATTCCCCACAATATTCAACTGCAATTTTTTTGATTGCCCTTTTTTATTATTAACCTTTACTAGCTTGAGGCTTGACCCCTTAATGTAGTGAGCCAGACTGCCAGTAAGTTGTGGTTGCAATGGCACAAAACATGGAGGTTCGGTTCCCTCTGATTGGTCTAGCTTATGTAGACAGTTCTCAAATTTGACGTTATTTGGTTAAATTTTTTTTAAAGCTTAGGACAGCGTTTTTTGATGATGTGGGCTATAATTTTTTAAAAAGATTTCAGCTCTTGCAATTTGAAAATTGCACTCCTAGATTGCAGTTTTGATATAAAAACAATTCATCTTTCAGCCCCTTTTTATAAGAACTCCAGCATCTTCTTGGTTTCATTTGCACTTGCATGATGCTTTTCTGGACTCCAGTTTTGGAAACTCTTGTTTTTTCTTCTTTGGACTTTCCTCTTCGCTATTCGAGTGGATTATCTTACATATAATCATGTCAGGAAAGTGGGTAATGACTAATAAAGTCTCTTTTAAAAGGTGGGTGGCACTTCATTTGTGCTTTGCTTTGTAATTGTCTCTTTTGTCTGCAGCAGAATCCTGTTGTCCACCGAACTTGGCCAGTCAACCTTGCACTGTAGCTTCATGCTAAATGTGCATGTCACCTCATATGTGTCTTTCATTTAAACAAATACCCTCCGGCTAATGTGCATCATGCTAATGGATTGCTGTTCAGTTGTATTTATCGGTAGCAACGTGCTTCTTTGAGTGAACTATTCCGTAGAGTGAAATCTTGAATATCGGTCAATGTCGATGTGACATTTTTTTCTTTAAAAAAGCTTTAAAATGAGCTGTTTTAACTGAAACACCTAAGATGAGCATCTGGAAACAGGCTTTCATGTCCAAACTGTACAGCTCCAGAGGAAAAACTGCACAGCTGACATCACATCACATTATGTGACTGAGTACTATTTCAGGACAGATTTGTTACAGGATTGAATGACATTCATTCTTTCTTTTCCTTCCAATATCAAATCCTTTTCTGCTGGTAGCAGCTCTAACGCTGAAATGCAAGGCATTGGATCTCTGCCATCTTTACTGCTGCTTTAAGCCAGAAACATACTCAACTCAAGAACACAAATGGCGACGGCTGGCCAGCACATTGCAAATGCACTGTGGTGCTGTACAGACTTGTGCTACATTTCCTCTCGCAGTTTTTCTTGCCACATTCTGCTCCGCTAGATCTCTTCTTCCCTGCTGCTGGTAGACATTTCTGTATCATTATGGAAGTGAGGGAACTGTATTGAACATATCTGGGGCAGTAAACACTGATACACTGTTTCCTGTTGCACAGAGGCTTACAGTGAGACTAAGGCTAAACTACAGACGTGCTTTTTATGCTTTGTCAGATTTAGAATACATCAGTCGTCCACACAAGCAAGACAATTAGCTCGTTCAGTCTCACTACCGATCTCAATCTGACCTCAGCTGGTAACCTTCAGATCATCCCTGTCAGTGGTACTGTATAAAACCAGATGTTTTCATTATCATGTAAAACTGTCATGGGTTCCAAGAGAGCGTCATCACCCTTTCGGAGGAAGTTGTGTTTGCCGTTCCTGACCAAGATTCCACTTTTACCTGATTTGGCTAAACACAATGTGGCAGCCACACTCATTTGCATGAGCAAGTCAGATTTCATAGCACCGCAACTCACCATGCACACCATGGACACATCGTTACCCAGGCCCAAATCATCTCATGGGTTGTATGGGCACTTGGCGCAAGGGTCCTAGCCACTAGAGGGCC